ACGCTGTCCAGGAGCCTCTATCCTAGCTGCTCAGTGTTTTCTACTCTTCTCCGCTTTAAACTCTTATGTGGACAGAACCTTCTCTTTTTGTTGTTTTCATAGCCAGTGCTTAGTACAATGCCTTATATGTTAATGTTTGTTGAATGATTGGTAGAAATGACAGAATATGGAAAAAAAGTGTCTTGATTGTGGTAGAAATGACAGAATATGGAATAAATGTGTCTTCATTCTAAATGGTTGTATAGCTAAAATTTTATTTTTACCTGGAGATGTTGTAAAGTGTTACCTAAAGATGTATGTGAAGTGTTAACACTTCCAGCTGTGACTTTAAAAATATATATATCTATACATTTAAAATTTTCCTGAGAGTCAGAGAGATTAGGTAACTTAGTCAAGATCACTACTGTCAGAGCTTGGAATCAAACTCATGTCTGAATTAGGAGAGGTTCCTTGTAACTACTCTGCCAAGGAGTCTAAGTTATAGCACTAAATTTTTTATCACTGCTGAAATCAGTAGATTTGGAATATTCATGGCTTATTATTTGGTCTCAGTTTTCTTTTGGCATTTACATGATGTTTGATTATTGAAAAATAGAACTTCGTTTCCTTGATTAATTGAGGATAATGCTTCCATATGTAGTATTGCTGTGTTTTTAAAACTTTCCTGTGGCTTATTGGCAAAATTCACGCCATAGATAGATTTTTCTATATTTCTTTCCCCTGCCTCCCTCTCTTTTGTCCTCTTCTTTTTCTCTCTCTCTCTCCTGCTTTTCTCCTCTACCCTCTCCTTTGTCATTCTCATATATCTAACATGTATGTCTGTATTATGTGAATAGATAGAGGTATAGTATTTTTTAAGGCCATCTTTTTAAGTATTAGAAGCATGCTACAAATCAAATGTTAGAACCAAAAGAAATGTAAAGTACGGTTTGATGTATACCTCATGAGGAAATAAGGAGTTGTGAAATTATTATTTTTTTTCTAAAGCATTTTGATCTAAAATTCATTGTGTATGGTGCACTGGCCTGAAGCCCTGAGGAATGGGGATGGTAATATAAAACACTTAAGTGTCCTGTCCCTATTGTGAAGAAGCTCATAGTTTAGTAAATAGAGAAAATCAGAATTTTAAGAAGTAATTATCAGTAATGTAATATTTTATATGCAATTTGTGATTTTTAAGTTAATTAGACCTATAGGAATCCGGAATATGAACAAAATTATGTAGGTCATTACTCAGAGAAACTTATATGGCTGAAGTCAAATCTGTAGTTCTTAAAATGTGGTTGGAATTTGAATACTGATGAACACAGGTGATATAGCATCATTTTAATTTATCTATGGCTAGAATCTATTTTCTAGACATCTGAAAGGTATTTAATTGCTGGGTTGACTAGTTCTATAGTTTCTCCCATGATTATAGCAGAAACCTAGGAGGTATGGTTTTTTCCCTTTTGAAATACAATCTCTTTTAACCACTAAAACATCTGCCATTTAAAGAAGTATGTAAGATTGTATAATCTGACACTATAGCTTTCTCTATGACATGCAAAGGTCATTTTTGGTCTCTTCCTGCATATCTTACCATCTTAATCTCTCCTCACTTCTCTCATGCACTATTTGCAAGTTCCTCTGAAGCTTCCTGTTCTCTCTGCCTTCCAGGGCTGTAAGTATATCACCTTCTACGTGGATCACTGGCCATTTACAGATTGTCTCCTCCTAACCTCTTCAGGCTCAGATTAGGTGGTTATTTTATTCTAGGAAGCCTTTTCTCACGTACCAAAAACTGAATTAGATGCCGCTCCTGAACATTCCCAAAGCCTCCTGACTTTACCTTATCCTGCTCTATTTTCCAGTTTACTTGTCACTGGATACTAAGCAAACTTCCTGAGGTCAGGAATCTTAAATCTTTGTTGTTATTGCTGTCCATTGCTGCATCCTCAGTGCCCCAATATATTTTTAATAAATATTTGTTGACTAGGGACATCTCTTTGGGTTTAGACAAGGGACCTTTTAGGTGGTAAATAAATACCTAACATATAAATTTTTTTAAAAAATAACATATATTAGTGTCTCTGAATTATTTTCCCTGAAGATGTAACTATCAATTTGAACATCTTGGTACATAATGAAGTACTTTCTATACTGTGAATGTTCAGAGCATATTTGTTAATTTAGTGTTTTAGATTTTCTTTCATATTCTTTTATAATGCTTCCCTGTTAATATTGCTCTTCTAGCTATTTTTGGTATGTGAAGAGATGTATTTATATGTGACATCTTTTTTATCCCCTTATTTTTTATTCTGTTTTTATGTTAGGGCTATATCTTGTAAGCTACATTTACCTAGATTTTATTTTTGTATCCATTTTGATAATCTCCACTTTTAATGGGTGCTTTTAATCCATTTATTGTGATTACTGATGCATGTGGACTTATTTCTGCCCTTTTTTTGGTATGTTTCTGTTTCTATTCTCTGCTTTTTTCTTTCCATGTGCCTGTCTTCAGTTAGATAATCTCACCTTATTTTCTATTTTTCCTCGGCTTTTTTTTCCTGTAGATTATATATATTTTTAAATTTTAAATTAAATTTTGCCAATAAAGTTTAATCTTGTTATTCAGTATTTTCCTCCTATTATAGGCATTGTAGGTTTTGCCATACTTTTATAAGTAATGTGGTAAAAATAAAGTTCCCATCTTTACTTTTGCACCAACTGAATATGTCAAAATTATTAGCATGCTTTACCGTCTAAACATTTCCTTAACTATCTTATTATTTTTTAGAGTTTGAGTTTTATACTTTTTAACCCCTCAAACATTACTCTAAAAATAATTAGTGGTTAACATTTTAGTAATTTTCACAATAACTTGTTTCTCGTATTCCATGGGTTCCATCTGCATCCACTTTTCTTCTTAATGAACTGCATCTTGTAAGAGCTTTTTAGAGAGATCTTTAATAGGTGGTAAAATTTCTTAGCTTTATATATCTAAAGAATACTTCTCTTTCATTCTCAAATGATGGTTTGGCAGCATGTAAAATTTTAGACAGTTATTTTTCCTCAGCTTTTTGAAGATACTACTCCATTGTTTTCTGACCTTTATTGCAGCTGCTGAGAAGTGTGCTCTCAGTCTGTCATTCCATTGAGGTAGTCTGTTTTTTTCCCCTTTGACAGCTTTTAAAAAGATTATGTTTTTATCATTGATAGAATGCTGTTTCTTTACATTGTATCTAATATGGATTCATGTTTATGTAGTCTAATACTGTTTTCTCTGTTTAATTTTTTTTATCACAGTATAACTTGCATAAACTTGAGGCTCAATTAAATTTTATATACATGTATACCCACATTCCCACCACCTAGATCAAGATTTACGACATTCTTAGCAAGTTATACAGATCCTGTATGCCTCCTGCTAGTCAGTACACCTATCCTAAACTCATTCAGAACTCTTTCATAATGAGAGTATACATCTCCAGTTGGGAAATTCTCAGCCACTATTTCTTTATGTATTGCCTCTCCACCAGTGCCTCCAGCATCTCCCCTCAGAACTCCGTTAGCAAACATTGCAGCCTCAGTCTTTGTCACTTACCTGCTCTTTTCTGTTTATTTTTTTTAAATGTTTGTGTCTTTTTGTCTGCCTGTGTGAAATTCTGGGTCATTCCTTAGTGCTACCTTTCAGTTTACTAATTCATACTTTCACTATTCCTTGTCTAGAATATATTATTTTGTTGCTTTTTATTTCAATTACTTTTCGTTAAGACTACTTATTAGTTTTTTTCTTTCTACCTTATACTATTTTTTTTTTAAATTTCTTGTTCTTGTGATGAATCTTTTACTTTCATGTATGGTTTTGGACATCCTCAAGATACTTACTTTACAATCTTTGACAGATTGCACTAAATAAATTGCTTTTGAAATGAATTTTTGTTACAATTACTGATTTTGTGGCTTGCTTTCTTAGCATTTGATTTCTTCATGTGTTTTAGAACTTTGTTTTGCAACTTACTTTTAAGTGGAAAGTTTATGTTTTAATGTCTTCCCTCCTACACAGTCCTCCTTGCTCCCCTCCGCCTCCCAAGGAATTTTGCAATTGTTATTGGGGATATTGGCAGATAAAGTTCTGGAGCCAGAGGGTGGCTTGGCTTTGTTCCTGGTATTGAGGCAGTATTCTGGTCCCTACCTTCTTAGACCCATGGTTTCTGATTAAAATCATAGTCTCAGTCAATAGGTTTTGATTGAGCATTTTACCAGCCTCATATTATGAGAAGAACCCTGACTTAGTAGCTTCAAGTAGTGAATCTGATTTGAGTCCTCTGTACCCAACAGGCTACTTTTAGTTCCCTTTAATCCCCAAAGGAAACTGTTGTACCTCTTTCTCCCTCTTTACTCCAAACCTGCTTCTAGATCCAGAAGCTAGTAAGTCTGTAGCTTCAGGTCTTCCTCAATATTTTTGAGTTTCCAGATATATTCTGTTGCATAGAAGTTATCCATATTTGACTTCATTTGTGTCTTTGATTTTCTCTTTTTATACTTTGTTCATTCAAACTGTATGCTGCCAACAGGTTTTTTTTTTAACTTGCCCTAAGATGTGAACCCAGAAGTACTGTTAATTGTAAAACTTTTCTTCAGGGAATAGTAGTCAAAATGTTTGAAAAAGTGAGGGGGATATGGAGTCTGGAATTGATTTGTTCAGAGGTGAATATCCATTTTTTACTATTGTCTCTAAAGTTGATTTTATTTTTGAGACATGCTCAATAATCTTTGTAATAGCTTTTTTATTATCACAAGTATAATTTATATTCATTATAGAGCTTTTGGAAACTACAGCAAAGCGCACACACACACACACACACACACACACACACACATATAATAAGAATTATTGTATTTTCACAACCCTAAAATAGCTATGGAATATTTTGGTATTTATTTATGTTTTATTTGTATATAGATAGTAGTATTTATGTTTTAAAAAACAAAACAAACTCAGTCTTGTTTTGTAGGTGAAGCAGTGAATGCTGGAGATGCATTATGTGAAATTGAGACTGACAAAGCTGTGGTTACCTTAGATGCAAGTGATGATGGAATCTTGGCCAAAATTGTGGTAAGTTTTTATTTTAGTTCTCTTCAACAGGATGAAAATTTCTTGAGTGTTAAAGTTCCTTATAGTAAACCTACCTTTTGTTTTTGCCTCTTTATTTTTAATGTGGATTGTCTACTACATAATACATTTTTAATTCAAGTGTTTAAAATGTTTTAGAGTTAAGGTCTAATAGACTATTTTTCTGTATTTTCTAAATCTTCTGTACTGTGTATTGTTTTTATAATTGACTATTAGAGCTTATGTGAAAAGTAAGTGAAATAAAATGCTTAGAGCTACATATGGTAAAAACATGACTATTTAGCATTATATGGCATATCCTCTGATTGAGCCAACCAGCATGTTTGTTTCTTAACTTCAAGAACATTTACTAGATAGTATGGTGGAGCAGCTAAGACTAAGACTGTGGACTCTGGAATCACCCCGCTGACTGATTCATATTATAGCTAAAAAGTTCTGCCAGTTATTAGTTATATAATGATTAGCAACCCCTGTGCCCTTTTTCTTCATGTTAAAGTAGAGATTATAATAATACCTACCTCATGGAACAGTAGGGAAGATTGAGAGAATACAAAAACTTACCCAGTTGTTACCCAATTGCTCAATAATTGTTGCTTTTCCCATTATTACAATTGTTTCCTTAGCTTTTGGTGACAATTAGCCCCCAAGTCAGTCTGTACGTTTGCCTAATAATTTGTATTGGTTGGTTGCAACTGGATAGTAAGTATCCATTTGTGCCTCTCCAGTTTGATTTGTACAGACAAGCTGCCTGTCCCTTAGCATTCCCCTGTGGATGTGCTTTTAGTCCTGAGGCATCAGCTTACCTCTGTTTTGAGCTTAGATATAACGACTTTCTTTGTATATTCTATTCAAATACTATACTTCAGAATGCTATACTCTAATTAGGTGCAAATGTGAAGACAGTTTTTTTTTGTTTTTCTTACAGAAAATTCCTCTTTTCGTTTTTTTTCTAGCCACTTGTGTTTTTAACTTCTGATGTGTCAAACTTCCTTTACTTGTCATCTCTAATATTAGATACTAGATAGAACATTCCAGGTTGAAACATATTGATGGTATAGTTAACTTTCTTGTAGGAAATACGAATCAAAGGCTAAAATTTCTGTACATTTGTAACTGGGAAAATAGAAATATTCATACTAAAAATATTTTCTTGACTAATTTATGCAGGATATTGAAAAAGATTGCTTGAATTACATGTAATAATCCCAGCTACATTTTATGATGCTGCTTTTGGCAAGCTGTGGTGTTGGCCCCAATTCTGGATTGTTTGGCTGTGGAAATCTTCCAGAATTGATAGCATTTTCCATTTAGCTGCTTAGTAATGCATTTCAAATTGCTAACCATGTCAGTGGGTAAGCAGTGCCAATTCATCTGCCCCCTAAGCTCTGAAAAAGGTTGGGAGTGTGATTGGATATGGTTGATAGCAGCTTTAGTAGCATAGCTATTTTCTTGCCAAAGAAAAGATTGTACGTGTATTTTAGGCCTTTGTGGCTTTATTATTATTCCACATGCTTTTTGGATAATATTTGAGAGGCTGTTCACAACACGATGTTGCAGTTTTATGGGGGAAAAACTAGTAAATTGTTATACCAAAAAAAAAAAAAAAATTCAATCATTATATACTTAAAGATCAGTTCATCACAGTTTATTCTGAAAGGTAGTATTTAGCAAATCAGACAGTAACTGTTTTAAATTATAATAAAGTAGAATCTTAGGATGACATATTTGGAGGGTTTATTAGACGTTCTCTGATTTGACTTCCAGTATATTTGGGGTTGCTATATAATCTGGCTTACCAACTAGGATATTTGTGAGGGTGAAAAGGGTATAAAGATGTTAAAATAATTTATACTTATTTAATTTTTGAAATGTAATTATTGACTAGCAATATGTTTATTGATAAATTTTTTGATAGACTGTTATGCAAAACAATTTTCAGTAATAGAACTTTTTCTAAAAACTAATATCCATGGGTGTTAAAGCAAATTTTTTTGAAAAAACTTTTTTTAATTGATCATCTGGAGATTAAAAACAGCAGAATAATGATTCTCGGTGCTGTTCACATTATTCAATTGGTTTCTTTACTGTATCTCACTCAAATACTGTGTCACTGGTATTTTTCTAAATAATATATTTTTAAGTATTGTATTTGCTAGATTCCCCTTCCCCACTCTTATTTTTTCATTTAGTTGCCCACAGTCCCATTCAAAGTTGCATTTTAATGATTTGAAAGTTTATGTTTGAAATTTGAAGTTGTGGAGCCTTCAATTGATTCTTCTCTTTAAACCATGATATTTTTAATTGAGAAAATACCCTCTCAAAGCTCAGAACCGATTCTGTTAAATGGAAGATATTCTCAACTCTGATTTTTTCATATTGGAATAGTTATGACACATTGTGAGGAAAGATAGTTTATGTTCCCCATGAATCAAAAGCTAAATTAGTATATCCACTTTATATCTTTTTAACTTGTTTTTTAAAAATACTAGCACCATCTTGAGGAGCTGCATGATAATTTTGATCTGTTGGATATAATTTACAGATTTGGTAAATTACAGATTTGGTAGTGATTATATTGTTACATTGGATACCATCTGTGATGTCCGACTACATTTAAATCCTCCCCCTGCTACATATTAGTCTTGTGATCTTGAGCAAGTTATATAACCTCTTCGTGCCTCAATTTTCTCATTTATAAATTGGAATAAAATAGTATTTACCTTAGAAGGTTCTTAGGATTAAATGAGTTAATGCTGTGCTAGAGCAGTGCCTGGCACTTGAAAGCCAGGCAGCAGTTATTCAAGGGCTTAGTGAATGTTTCTTCTTCCCCTCTGCATTTTAGCTTATCAATAGTTTTCATTTTCATTATTTCTTATATACTTTCTTATAAACCAAAGTTCATTGTGTGTATAAGATAAGCAGTATACATTGAAGAATAAAAGCAGTTCAAAACTGTATAGTGGTTCAAACCATGATGGAAAATCATTGTGTTGAACCAGGTCAGTCAGTCATGTGACTCAGGTCATCTCCACTAACTGCTGCACATGCTCTGTCAGTAGTCGCTTGGTAGCTTTCAAACTGCTCTATTTTAAAGAATAAAAATACTTAAATAATTACTGAATGTACAGATTTTAAAATATCAGAATTAAAACAGACAGTATTTTCTTGTACTTTTAATGGAGTGAACCCCCTTAATTTCTCTGTTGGACATACTGCTGAAAATGTTTTGCATCTCATATTCTTGTATACATGGATGAGCTTAGGTGAGTTGTTTGTAGGATATTTGCAGGTGATTCATTGGATAAGCTGTGAGAATGTCTCTAGAACAGAGGCCTCACACTAGTGACCTGGGCTCGAGGGTTGGAATTCAGTCTCTGTGTGAGTATTATGAAGAAATAGTTTTTCACAGGCCCTAGTACCCACTATCATATATGTTGATGTTTGCCTTTTAGTGCTGCTAGCCACCTGCTGGGCCTTTAGGCATGAATTTCTAACTCATACCAAGGGAACAGTCCCCTGTAGTTTAATCTGCATCCTTGTTGAATGTATTGTTTTAGAAAATCTGTAATTTGAAGGAAAAACACCACCACAGCAATAACAACAACAATAATAATACCTTTAACAATGAAACTGAAAATGAAAACAAGTTACTAGCTACCAGACACTATTCTAAGGGTCTTACATGTAACTCATTTATTCCTCATAACATCAGCATAAAATAGCTACTACTATTATTTGCATTTTACAGCTCAGAAAACAGGCATGGTGAAATAAGGAAACTTTACTAACATCACATAACTAGTAAGTGGTGGAGCCAGCGTTGAAAGTCAGGAAGTCTGTACACAACTGGGAGGGAAGGCTAATATTTGAAATGATGGACTCGACATTCAGTATTTCAGCATTGATGAGCTCTAAGTTAATAGAGCCACGTGTAAAAACCCTACATTTAATATTAAGAAATCATTGGCACAAGAGTAAGAGAGGGCTTTGATCAAGCAAGCCAGGTGCATAGGAAAACTCTGGCATTTGAGGTGTCCTTAGCTTCCAATGCTTTGGTAGATCAGAGTGTATCCATGGTGCTAACTCAGAAGGGAAGGAACAGTAACAAAGGTCTGCTTGGTCTCTAAATACAGTTTTGCAAAGAGTATTATTTACTTTTTAGTTACTACGCCTAAAAGATCTCTGTTTGCACTAAGGGAATAGAAAAAGTTGAAGAAATTATCTTAAATTCATAAGCGATTTTAATGACTTTAAATGGAATTATAATCAGCCATATTTTATCTTTTGTTATATATTCAAGTTGTATGGTAGTATGTCACGTGTCATTGTCCATTGTATTTTGGTTTCATGCTTCATGGTGGCACTCTTTTAAATTAAAAAAAAATGTGAATAGTTAAAAATAAATTTTATTTGATATTTAGATACTGGTAAAAATTGAAATGATAAATGCTGTGTATTGCCTACTTGTGAAGGTCTCAATGTTATGTTGGTAGAGTACATATGGAATCATTTATATGGTTTATAGCAAATGAAACAGAAGATGTGGTGTCAGTTTCAGATTTAGTACAGTTGTCTGACTCAGATTTTAGAAATCTATTGATATTTTTAATGTAAAACTTTCTTTGAATGCTTTACATTTGACGGATGTTCTTTGGATATTGATCCTCTTTCTGATTCAGTTTTGAAAGGAATTAACATCAAGTGGACTTTTTGTCACTTAATGCTTTCTAGATAAATTTTTAAAGAAAATTTGTCATTTTACTTTGATTTTTGAGTTAGCAATTCATAAGCAGATAATTAAACACTTTTGGATGAAAAATATTTGTCCAATTATAATCTTAACTCATTTTTTTGACATAGTAAAGAAAATGATCTTTGCAGAAATAAATTTTTTTAGTATGTGGCAAACAACTAAGCAACTAAATTTTTCTTGGATTGCTTAATATTTTTCCATAGCTTATAATTCATTAAACATTTCTATTCAGTTTTCTATACTAATTTCTTATATATATTTTTTTCTTTATCAAAGCATTGCTCCTTTTCTTCCTCATTAGTAATTAGTAAACTTAGCTTCCTAAACCCCTTATGCCTTATTAACGATAATGAACATACCCGTGAGCATTGAAATTAATGTTACTCTGAAATGTCAAACTTACTCTAGAAGTTATGCTTTTCCTTATAATTACTATATTAGTAAATGTCCTGCAGCTTATCATTTTATTGTTCATTAAATATATCTAATGAATCTTATTTGGAGTAATTGAAAGAGAATAATAGAGAATTTGAAGGGAATGACATTTTTTTCAGTAGTGAACTTATAAAATATTGTTATCCAAAGTTTTCTAGAGAATTCTTTTTAATAAGTAAATTAGAATCATCACCCTTTTTTGTATATATAAATTAATGCTGCTGAAATACTTAAAATATACTTATCTTTACGTTTAAAAACATTATCTTCGATCTTATTTAAGTGTTTAATTGGCATTATCTGTGCAAAATAAAAAGATTTTGTTAACTGAGACACCACTGTGTTTCTGATATACTTACAAAAAACTCATGAGGTTTTATTTTATTTTTCAGGTTTTGTAAATAGGTATACAGGGAAATAATTAAATGTAAAGAAGTGAACTAAACATTAACCAGAATAAACAGTTCCATCTATACATTGGAATGTTTATTTTTTCAGACTAAGTTTACTGAAAAGATTTTTGCTTTAAGTAAATTTTAGTAGATTGGACTAAGTTGAGGGACTTAATCCCTTCTGAGCATTTGGAACTCTGAAGCCATTGCATAGAAACTATCTGGGAAAGACAAGTGGTTAAGATACGTAGCCACAGTCTTCTGTTTTGGATTTGTATTGACATCAGAAAGGAAGATGATAATGATGGATCTTATATATTTGAAGGCTGTCAGAAAGAGGATACTTGCTAGATTTATCTTTTATTTCAGAAGGTAGCATTACTAACTGGGAAGAGGAAAATGGTGATAGAAGGTGTAAGTGGGAGAAAGCGGGGAGGGTGACAGGTCGAAGTCAGAGGCAAATGGTCTTGGAAGCAGCTTTTAGCTCAGATGAAGATATCTTAATGGCAGAATGACCCAACAAAGGAATAAACTACTTACTGCAGTCATGGGGCTTTCCTTCTCTACAGTTATTTCTTTTTAAAATATAGGTTGAAGAAGGAACAAAAAATATACGGCTAGGTTCACTAATTGGTTTGATAGTAGAAGAAGGAGAAGATTGGAAACACGTTGAAATTCCCAAAGATGTAGGTCCTCCACCACCAGCTTCAAAACCTTCAGAGCCTCGCCCCTCCCCAGAACCACAGATTGCCATCCCTGTCAAGAAGGAACACACACCCGGGACACAACAGTGAGTATATTTATTCAAAGGCTGATGTAAAAAAAAAAAATGGTTATGGCAGTTCTTACAGGATTTGCACATCTTTGTATATGACATAGGAAGTTGCTGTTCTCAGCATACTCAGATCTTAGAGTTTTTTTTTTAACTGTCATTGTTCATTTAGTAAATAAATAGTTATTAAATATCTCCTAGGTTCCAGGTACTCCGAAAGCCCTGCTTGCACAATGGAAAACCAAACAATGTGCAGGGTGTGTCCATGTTGAGCTTGAATTAGGTTTTAAAACTCTAGAATGGAATTCAGTATCCCAAACTTCATATTCTGTTCCCATTTATGGAATTCTGACTACTGTTACAGGAATTCCAAGCTCAAATGTCTATCTGATATAAAATAGAATTCGTGTTTTAGCATGCATTCGTTTTCAAACTAGTCTACATTATGAGTTTCTGGCACAGACTAGAGCTCCGTTTTGTCTGATTGTTTTGTAACAAAACAGTTACTTAATACATATCATTTCACTTTAGTTTTACATTACTTTAGTGGATGAGCTCTATAAATTCTAACATTTCATTTATTTATTTTGGTATTCTATATAATTGTACATTACTTTATGAGAAAAGATCTTCATAAAGTAGATCTCTTCAGTTTAAAGTATTTTTTCCTTTTACTTATGATTGTCAGTTCTTGTCAGAAAAGAGTTCACAGTGCTTTTTGAAATACTGAGTTTTAAGTTTCCTGTGCAAAGTGTTTCTGACTCTGTTGCCTTGACTCTCCTTCACTGTCTTCTCTTTCATTTAGCCTAAAAATTGGAAGACAGTCTCGCTGATGTTTTCTAACTAATGATCTTCTCCCCTTGCAAAGATAATAATAGTGTATACTCTAATTAAGATTAGTAACCATCAGAGACTCACATGAATCTGAGGCCCCACTGTGTAGGTTAAAAACCTACTGACCTGTGAAGTCTGCATACTGTTGGGACCACACTGTGGTTGAAAAAAATTTTGTTTTTGGTTGGTTGCTTACTAATCTTATATAAAAATCTAAAATTTCAATTTCTCTTGAAAAATCTAAATATTTAATAACACTGGGCCCATATCAGAGTTATTTAATACTTCCTGAGATGCAGCAAGTTCCACAGTTGTTTCTGTTTCTTACCTTTAAATTTCTAGACCCAGCCTGTTTTAATTTGTACTAATCTGGTTTATTTTCTTTATGTAGTCATTTGCTACTTTGCTTAAAGGAGAGAAACTGTTAGTCATGTCATTTGGGGTATATATATATATGGGGGGGAGAGCGAGAGCGAGAGAATTCAACCTCAGCAATACAACCCAATTAAAAAACAGGCAAAGGACTTCAATAGCATTTCTCCCAAGAAGATAAATAGATGACCAGTAGGCACATGAAAAAGATGTTCACTGTCACTAACCATTAGCGAAATGAAAATCAAAACCACAATGAGACCCCCCTCCATACTATTCAGGATGGCTCTTATCAAAACAATCAAACAAAAACCAAACCACACCCAGAATGTAACATGTGTTGGCAAGAATATGGAGAAATTGGAACCCTTGTGGTTGCCTAGCAGAAGTGTAAAATGGTGAAGCTACTGTGGAAAATACTATGACAGTTTCTCAGAAAATTAGAATTAACCGTATCATCTAGCATAAAATGATAGCATGTATATCCACTTTCGGATGCATACATACACACATATATATGCAAAATAACTGAAAGCAAAGACTGGGAGGAGGTATTTGTACATCTCTTTTCATAGCAACATTATTTGTACTAGTAAAATAGTGGGAACAACTCATAAGTCCACAATGCTATGAAATGTGATTCAGCTTTTTAAGAAGGAAATTCTGATAAATGCTGCATAGATGAACCTTGAGAATATTATGCTGAGTAAAATAAGCCAGTCACAAAAAGACAAATACTGTATGATTCTATTATTTGAGGTACCTAGAGTAGTCAGATTGATAGAATGGTTACCAAGGGTTGGGAGGAGGGAGGAATAGAGAGTTACTGTTTAATAGATACAGAGCTTCAATCTGGGAGGATGAAAAGTTCTGGAGATAGATGGTGGTGATGGCTGCACAACGGTGTGATCGTACTAAATGCCACTCAATGATAATACCTGAAAATGCTTAAAATGGTAAATTTTATGTATCATTTGCCACAATACAAAATATATGAAGAAACGGTAGAACAAAGTATGTGAAGAAACAATTGATGTATGTGATGAGGAGCCATGTGAAAGTAATTAGTTGAAATAGAAGCTCTTTCCTCCAATGAATATGTATTCTTATTAAAACAATATTTAGAAATAGTAACTAAATTTTTATGAAAATCTTTTAAGAATAAAATAAACCAAATTGGTACAGATGATTTGACTGTGACCATTTGCAGAAGTCATTTTAGGTTTATTATAAGATTTTTTAAAAATTATTTGCAAAACTGTAGACATTTAGATCTGTTTGAATCAAGTGATAGTGTTAATTGGTTCTATTAACCTTTTTATTTTTTTCTTAGGTTCCGTTTAAGTCCAGCTGCCCGCAATATTCTGGAAAAACACTCACTGGATGCTAGCCAGGGCACAGCCACTGGTCCTCGGGGGATATTCACTAAAGAGTATGTGTTTGCTTTTTGTAATAACCAATTCCATTATTTATTATGATCTTGTTTTTTTTGAAGAATATAAAAAGAGCTTATTCAGTCTTAAGATTTGAAAGGAGGTACACTATTCTTTTGTACTTTTAATTGCTTTTATTATTATAAATTGTATTCTGCAGAGGAGTTGTTTTGTGAATAATTATAGCATGACTGAAGAACAGCTCTAATTTGATAACTAAGCAAGATCCTCAGAAGTGGTAATAAATGCAGAAAATTAGAGTGCAGAACAGTGAAACTTCTTACAGCATTAAGTGTATATGAAATCATCATGCAATATTTACATTTCTAAAATGAGAAAATGAGGAAATATATTTTTTAAAAAGATTTTTCACGATATTCCATTTGAATTTTATTCACATGTACTGTTACAAAGCAATCTCCATATACAGTTTGGTCTCTTTTTAGATTTTCTTTTCTATTTCATTGATCCATCTGTCCATGAGTTAGTAGTATACTTTTTAGTACCACACTTTTAATTAGAAATGTTTATTGTATGCTTTAAAATCTGATAGAGATAGCCTTGCTCTTTTTTTTATTATTAATTAGTTTTCTTAGTTCACTCTTATTTTGTTATTTTTCAAAATGAATTTTAAGCAGTTCATCTACCTCCATGGGTAAGAGTGAGGAGTATTTTTATGAGATTGTATCACAATTAAATTAACTTAATGAGAATGACATCTTTATGGTGACGGGTCTTTCTATTCAGCACCACTGATGTGTCTTTCCATTAATTTAAATTTTTGTGTCTTTCAAAATAGATGGCCCCTTTTGTGTTGAAACTTAGTCTAGTAGAGTAGACAAAGATTAATCAAATAGGCTTATGAACTAACGTAAAATTTCAGTAGTGCTATGTGCTACATTTCTATTGGCAGTAATAGTAAATATTTCAAATGAGTTTCTGTTTCAAAGCAATGTACTCATTCCATGTTTATCTAATATTAATAGAAAATAATAATATTGGCCAGAATTTGTATAAGTTGAGAGGGAGCAATGGTTATGAAATTATAGATGGTAGTGCTGGGCCAGGCAACTTTTTCTTTATTCCACTGGGTTATTTTATTCTTCATGAAAGCATTGGCTTACTGTTCGGTGTTTATTTTATCAAAAGCAGTATATAGCTTTAATTCTTAGATATCCTCATTTATCTGTATTACACTCTTACTGATTTGTTAGCCAAGTATGAGTATGTGGTTCTATCACACACGTACTGTAAAGTTTGTGCCACAGTGCATGAGTTGGAAATCAGCTGTCCTGAGAGCTGACTGAAAGGCAGCACCCCGGACCGTGGGATTTTTAGTTAAAGGACTTAAAGGTTATACTTAGCTATAAAAAATTAAAATTACGAACCTTGATTGCCAGTTAATCCTAGTTTTTTCCCCCTACCAATCCTTATTTAGTATCTACTATTGGTGTATTAATCTTGTTAGTTTCTACCAGTTTGTGCCTTAGTAACACTCCCTAAAAATGGGAGAAAGCAACTGTTGTTACAGCAAAGTAGACTTGCGTTGCTCATAATTCTGAGGGTTAGGATGTAGAGTATTTAATTCATTAATCATTGAGGATTTGGTGAAATAAAAAATAATTATTGCTATACCTTAGAGGGATCAGTTCTGCAAATTTGTGTAAGATAAATGGAGCAGAAAAAGATGAGATAAGGAGATAAAGTAATAGACTCCTAAAGTAATCCAAGGAAGAGAAAATGAATACTCGAAGGTGGGAAGAAGGAGGACAAGGGAGATTCCTTATATAGACAACATTGTAAGGATAGAGTCCAGAAGCCTCTGCAGATTAAATGTGGATTGTATAGCAGAGTAGCAACAAGTCAAGGAATGAATCTGGATCTGGTCTGGGTAATGATAGTTTTGGCTCCAAAAATAGAAATAAGGGATTTGGGAAGCATTTGTCTTGGTGGAGTTAGTAATGTGTGAAGCTTTGTGAGGACTTACAAGCCATGTAGGTATCAGGATCAGTGAGATGAAGATGTATCTCAGGAGATTGTTTGGGATTAGAGAGGTGGATTTGGTAGATAATAATGCAGTAGTTGTAATTGAGATCATCAATAGGGAAACGATTTAGAGGTTAAAATCCTTGAGCTGGAGGATAGTTGGGAAATGGAAAAGTCAAGAATGTTAGGATCTAAGAAAAGCCTCTTAAATTTGGTGATATGGTTACCTTTTGGAGGGCAATTCAGTAGTGTGACAGCAGTGAAATAAAGAAAGAAAGTTTTCTTCCTTCCTTCCTTTTCTTTCCATGTGTGCTTAATACATATGTGATGCACAACTATCTTTTTTTTTTTAACCTGAGTTGAAAGTTGTAATAGTAATGAAACATTTCTTAAGAACAAAATGGTATTATCTCCTGAATACCATAAGGAAGCAGTGTTAAAGAGTTAGGCTTTTAGAATTTTTGCCATCTTTCTACCCTCTTACCCAATTCTCTTCCCTGCCCTTATTCCTTAACTCTCCACCAGACAGAAATCAACCTCTGATCTTCAAAATAAGAAATGGTACCAGAGATTTCTTGAGAAAAGTGGATCCTGAAAGCATACATTATTGAGGATTTTTGCTTTTCAATACTACTAAAAATGCCTGCATTTTAAGTTTAACATTAAGGTGAGCTTTGGAAAAAATTTTAGCCTGATGTCATCTTCTGACATGGTTGAAAAGTTGCAGGCATTGACATAGTTGCCCCCAAAATATCTTAGCACACTTTTGTATTTTTTAAATTTCTTTTGTCTTTAAGAGAGAGATAGGCTCTCACTCTGTCACTCAGGTTGGGATGCAGTGGTGTGTTCAGATCTCACTGCAACGTTAAACTCCAGGTATGCCACCATGCCTGGCTAAATTAAAAAAAAAAAAAAAAAATTTTGTAGAGACAGGTTCTCACAAGATTGCCCAGACTGGTCTCAAGCTCTTGGCCTCAAGTGATACTCTCATATCAGCCTCTCAAAGTGCTGGGAACAGACGTGAGGCCACAGTGCCTGGCCGGCACACATTCTTGACATGGTGAGGACATCTTCCATTCCATGTCCACTGAAAGTGCAAGTAGAGTAGAAAAATCAGTTCCAAATGCTGAAGGAAATGCCTCCAGCCCACTGTATTTGTGAAGAAAATCTTAGGTGTCAGGGCTGCTGTTTTAATTTTGCCTTAAAACAAACTGCTCAGAATACATGTTGTACCAAACCATATAGACTTTACTTTGCTCATACATGTGACTGTTTTAAGAAAGCAGTGTCAGGGCCACAATTGGAAGCAGAATACATTTAGGTTCTTTGCCTGCAGACCCAATGTCTTTGGTACATCTGTGTCTTAAATCGTAGTGGTAGTAATATTTGTATTCATCACACATCATCAGAAATCCAGTAAGTATGAAGGGTAAGTGCCTAGTGTGTTTTAGTGGTATTTCTTTTCAAAATGAATTCATGTCGCACCCAAATGAATTGCTTTCTCAGGGAGCCCAGTAGAGAAGGTTCTACCTGAGTTAACTTGCAGAACATCCTCTGCCTATCTGCAGATTTGTTGGTATGTTGGTTTTTCTTCTATTTTTTATAGCTTTTAATGTCTACCTGATACTCCAGGTTTAGTCTGATTATTTAATGTCCAGAAATCTTTGAAACTATTTTCTGTCTTACAAAAAACTAAATCGTTGGCTGTTACTAAACAATAATTAATATTTATACTTCAAAGGTATATAAGTATAAAATCAGCATAAAAAGGCCAGGTGCAGTGGCTCACACTTGTAATCCCAAAGCTTTGGGAGGCTGAGGCTGGTGAATCACTTGAGGCCAGCAGTTTGAGATGAGACTGACCAACATGGTGAAACCCCCACCTCTACTAAAAATATAAAAATTAGCCGGGCGTGGTGGTGCACACCTATAATCCCAGCTACTAGGGAGGCTGAGGGATGAGAATCTCTTGAACCTAAGGGGCAGTGGTTGCAGTGAGCTGAGAGTTTATACCACTGGATTCCAGCCTAGGTAACAGACTGAGACTCTTCAAAAAATAAAAATCAGTGGCCAGAATGAATTTTCTACTTAATTCTTTATGATTAACCTTCCCAAGAATCTTTTTTTTTTTTTTTTTTGAGATGGTGTCTTGCTCTGTCACCATGTCTGGAGTGCAATGGTGTGATTTGGGCTCACTGCAACTTCTGCCTCCCAGGTTCAAGTGATTCTTCTACCTCAGCCTTCCAAGTAGCTAGGACTACAGGTGCACACCACCACTCCCAGCTAATTTTTGTATTTTTATTGGAGACGGGGTTTCACAATATTGGCCAGGTCGGCCTCGAACTTGGCCTTGTGATCCACCCACGCCAGCCTCCCAAAGTGCTGGGATTACAGGTGTGAGACACTTTACCCAAGAATCTTAAGTACTATAGAAATAAAACTAAACTGCTTTTAAAAAAGTAGCAAATAATAGTTATGCTGATAATGAGATAAAAATGTGTCAATTTAGTGTCCCTAACCTTTTTTTTAATAGATATATTCAAGCATTAACAAGTTGCAGTGTTCCTGCTTGTGGTGATATTATGTTGTTACATAATAAGTTACAGTAAACTTACCAGCTTAAAATAACACCTGTTTGCTTTCTAACAGTTCAGTAGGTTAGAAGTCCTGGCATAGCATGGCCAGGTTCTGAACTCATGGTCTCACAAGGCTGAAATCAAAGTGATGGCCAAGGCTGGGAGCTCATGTGAAGCTTGGGGTCTTCTTCCAAGCTCATGCTGTTGTTGGCAGAATTCGGTTCCTTGGGACTCTAGGACCATGGCCCTTCTTCTCTTGCTAGCTGTCAGCAAAGAACCACTGACAACTCCCAGAGGCCACATGCAGGGTCTTGCCATGTGTCGTCTCCGTCCGTCTCCGTAGTCTGTTCACAGCATGCATGTTTGCTTCTTCAGGGCCAGCAGTTGAATGTCTTTATTCAAATCTCCTCTTTTAGGAAGGCCTAATTTCTTTTAAGAGATTACCCGATGTATCTGTCCCTTCCAGGATAATTTGCCCTTTGATTAACTAAACTGATTTGGAGCCTTAATTATATCTGTAAAATACCACCAATTTTGTCACATAATAGGACCTAATCATGGGAGTGATATCCATCGTATTCACAGGCCAGCTACAGTTAAGAGGGATTGTATGGGGTGTGTATACTAGGGGCAGGAATATTGGGGCCATCTCAGAATTCTTCTACCATGTTGCAACAAGTAAAAGGTTCTTCTCAAATACATTCAACAGATGCTAGGTTTTTTCTTTCATCAACTTTTTTGAAAAATAATACCAAAATATTAAGTGTGTTTGAAAAATAATTTTTCTTTAGATTTTGTGTCACCCTGAAGTTTTTTTTTTTATTATGTAAAACAGATTTTTTCTTAAATTGGAAAAAATATAATTAATTATTGGATATTAAAATCTTCTAAAAATTATTTTAAGGAAATGTATTGCCTAATACCACTGTAACTTAGCATAGTGATTGACGACACATTTAGTAATCTAATTACATCCTTTTACAAGGCAAAGATACCTTTGTTTTAAAGAATAATACAAAGGCAAGTCTGTAACTGGTTATTTTTTTCATTGTAAAAGATATCATGGGTTAGATTTGTTACATTAAGTTGTACTGATGACATATTGAGCAGAATTTAAAATGCTTTGGTTTCCTGGTCATCAATAAGCTGATTTGCACCGTAATAAACAATGAAACAATAAGTGAATAATAATATAGAAAATATTCTGGTGAAAGTCATGTTTACAATAAACTTGACACTTTTTGAATGCTGTGTGAATACCATTTTGTGAGCATAAAGGATGAGAGTATGGTTTAATTGTTCATGTACCAGATAACATCCACTGCACAGAAAAGACTTAATTTCCTTTTTAAAAATCACAACCTATATCCAATTTTAATAAAATTCTAACTATTATTTGGTTTTTGAAAATATGCAAATATTAAAACGTGACAAATAATGGGAGTCCACAGACCAGGTAAGAGACAGGATTTACTTTTCTAGATCAGATAATTGGTTTTTAATGATAACCTTGAAATCTGTATGTTTCTGTATCTTTTCTCCACATCTCACCTGCATTTTCTGAAAGCTGTCTTATAATCCTTATTGCTAATCATGGTTATCTACTTTGCTCTTATTTCCAGGGATGCTCTCAGACTTGTCCAGTTGAAGCAGATGGGCAAGATCACTGAGTCCAGACCGACCCCAGCCCCTGCAGCCACTCTTACAGCACCTTCACTGCTACAGGCCATAGCTGGGCCATCTTATCCCCGGCCTATGATTCCACCAGTATCAACTCCTGGACAACCCAATGCAGTGGTAATGTTCTCTAAATAGATTTTTCTTTTTCTTTTTCTTGTTTTTTGAGACAGAGTCTTGCTTTGTCACCCAGGCTGGAGTGCAGTGGCACAGTCTTGGCTCACTGCAGCCTCTGCCTCCCAGGTTCAAGAGATTTTCCTTCCTCAGCCTCCTGAGTAGCAGGTGCCCACCACCACACCCACTTAATTTTTGGATTTTTAGTAGAGAAGGGGTTTCACTATGGTGGTGGGCCTGGTCTCGGACTCCTAACTAAAGTGATCCACCTGCTTTGGCCTCCCAAAATGCTGGGATTACAAGCATGAGCCAGTGCACCTGGTCTGGATTTTTATTTTTCAAATTTAAGTGAAAGAGAAAATAAGCACAAATACTATGTGTTATAAGAGTAGTTTTAAAACAGATTAGTTTTACTAATCTGTTTCAGTAGTAGCTTAAAGTATAAAGAAAAAAAAACACTCCAAATGCTGCATTTTACAGATTTTCTATCAGAAACCAAAATTTGTATGTTAACTTCCAAATAAACATTAGAACTATAATTCAATTTAAAGTTACCACAAACTCCACAACTTCAATAACATATATATTCTCTATAATCTCATGTGTTTTTTTCTCAAGTGTAATACTAATAATTGGTAGCTGACACTAGCTGCCTTTTCTGGCTGTGTTTTACTTTTTAACTAGGGAATGGATAATCCCACTATAAAGAACTGTATAGTCATTCTTTCCTTCTCAGATGCATGCAGTATAGCAGCCCCTTTTTGTTTTCAAATTACTCCATTTTGCCTCTCTGTCTTTCCTGTTCAGGTTACTTCCTATCAGAAGAAATGTAGGATAACCAAGTTTATTTAAAATGAAATGGACACTTAAAAAAATAAAAAGCAAAATAAATAGATAAATCTGTACTCCTTCTAATGGAGAGCTATATACTAAATGATATTTTAAAAGAGTTGAAAACAGTACAAGCTTCATGGGAAACAGATTTTCAAATATTCATTCATGGTTAATATACTACATACTGGAATAACCTACTTTGAAGGACATGTAATTGGACTGTATAATGTATAGTCAAGAGTGAACTATACTCTCAATATAAGATATGTATAGTACAATCATATGTCTTTAAAAAGTAGGTTATTCAAGGTTGGGTGTGGTGGCTTACACCTGTAATCCTAACAGTTTGGGAGGCTGAGTTGGGAGGATTGCCTGTGCCCAGGCATTCAAAGACCAGCCTGGACAACATAGTGAGACTCCATCTCTACAAAAAATTTAAAAATTAGCTGGGTGTGGTAGTCCCAACTACTCAGGCAACTGAGGTTAGGGAATCACTTGAGATTGGGAGGTTGAGGCTGTAGTGAGCTATAATCATGCCACTGCACTCCAGCCTGAGTTACAGAGGAAGACTATCTCCAAAAAAAAAAAAAAAGTTATTCAAATTAGGAAGGTAAACCATACTTTCAAATTCTTATAATATGTGGAGAGCGTTTATTCTGCTTGACCAAGTACTTTGCTAACATAAAGTGTTTAATTTCTTGATATTTGTAAAAATGAAATCAGCAGCACTTTCAGTTGCTTTATATTATCTTGATTATAATGAAATCCCAAAATAGAATTAAGGACAAGAAAGGAATTAGATATAAAGTCTATTGTCCTTTTTTGTCCATGCAACTGTAATGAAGTTACCAGAATATTTTATTATCTCATTCATACTTTCTATTATGGATCCCTAAGAAATAAGATACTCGTGTTATGTTTTAAAATTACAAATCAAGATAGAAGTAATTGAATTGCCTGTATAGAAGGTCCCCACCTTCTAATTTTCCTTTTAATTTCTTTGATCCACGAGTTGTTTATAAGTATAAATTTAATTTCAGAATATTTGAAGACCCCTCAGTTACATTTCATGATTTCTAGTTTAACTCCACTGTCTTAGAGAATACACTTTGAGACACACTTTATTTTTAGAACAGTCATCTTCTCAAATTTATTGAGATTTATTTTATATTTATAATATGGTCTGTCTTGGTGGATGTTTCTTGTGTACTTGAAAAGATGGTTCAACTTAACAATTTTTTGACTTCACTATAGTGTAAAAGTGATAAACATTCGGTAGAAAGCAATACAGTACGTACTTGCAATGCTGGGGAGCATTGGCCAGCCACAGCTCCCAGTTAGCCATGTGATCATCAGGGTAAACAACTGCTACTCTGCAGTGTACTGTGTAACCAGATGATTTTGCCCAACTGTAGGCTAATATAAGTGTTCTGTGCACATTTACGGTAGGCTAGGCTAAGGCTAAGCTGTGGTGTTCATTAGGTTCCACTTAACGGTGGGTTCATCAGAATGTCACCCATCATAAGTCAAAGGGCAACTATATATTAATAGTTGATTTGTTGATTTATTGGCTGTTTTATTTCAGTTTTGTTAAGTGATATTTGTAACAAAAGCTGCTTACAGATGTCGTATATCTGTGTCTCTCTTCTCTCTCCGTGTATGTGTGTACACACACACATCTCTATTGCCCTGTGTGTATGGTATATGTACACACAAAGACACCTATGGAGGAATTACTCATTATTTGGTAGATTTCTTTTGTATCATCTTAAACATAGTAACCTAAGATACCCCATTCACATTGAAACATGAATTTTGTTACTTTTTTCTGTAGTTATGTACTATAAACCAAAACTTCTCAGATTTTTTAATATTCTTCCCTTATACTAAGAATTTTAATAGTGCTTTTCTTGTATTAATCTTTAATAAGATCATTGAGAATTTCATTTATAATGTTGCTTGTTTTTTGTTCATTTTTCTGTTCCACTTGTGGTTTAACAGACAGGTTGCTATCTTTTTGCAGGGCACATTCACTGAAATCCCCGCCAGCAATGTTCGAAGAGTTATTGCCAAGAGATTAACTGAATCTAAAAGTACTGTACCTCATGCATATGCTACTGCTGACTGTGACCTTGGAGCTGTTTTAAAAGTTAGGCAAGATCTGGTCAAAGGTTAGTAAAATTGAATTTACTTAATGTAAAACACATGCTAACTTAGCTTTCATGAAATCCTTTACAAAATTCACATTGTGTGGCTTTTGATTTCAATTTCATAATTTACTTGTACTGTACTCTGGGTATATTTGTGCTAAAGGAAAAAATTAGTAATATTTTCCTACAAAAAGTAAATTGGTTCCACAGTATTAAATAAATCACAGATGCCTTTATGCAGAATAAGGGTTTCTTTTCTACCTTGCTTTTATTTCCTCTGTGGTCATATTTGAATAATGTACGTTTAGTTAACATTCATTTAGCAGGCAGTTATTGAGTTTGAGTCTCTGTTACATACTGAGCTTTAAAAATACAGATTGAGCATCCCAAAACCAAAATTTCAAAATACCCCAAAATTTGAAACTTTTTGAATGCCAACATGGAGCTCAAAGGAAGTCCTTATTGGAGCTTTTCAGATTTTGGGATTTTGGGACTAAAGATGCCAAAACCACAAATGTAATATTCCAAAATCTGAAAAATTTTGAAATCTCAAACACTTCTGGTTCTAAGTATTTTGGATAAGGGATACTGAAATCTGAAGTACTATAATTTGGCTGGTTAGTTATTTTAAAAGCGAAAGTGGGCTTCATGTTTTGGTGTGCTTTAGCTTTTACATAGGTAAATTTTTTTGTAAGAACACATGATTTGCTGAGACCAAATGGCTATTTTTTGTTTTGAGTATTTTTTGGCATACTTAAATGAAGCAGTCCTTAACATTTTAATAAGTTTAAAATCCAAAACTTTTAAGAATGTTTTATATTAGAAATATCTTAGTTATTCTTCTTTATGCAAATTTTAATTTTATATTTCTTGTTCAGAATTCATTTACAGATTACTAAAATTGCAGCGTTTCTTCCAGAAATCAATAACAAGTAAGATTGCTGAGAGATATACAGATTTTTTAGCATGAATCGATAGTTTTATTTCTTCATTTTTGATCTATATGGCCTTCATATTATTTTCTTACCTTATACACTGGCTAGGACCTCTGGTATAACGAACATAGATAGTAAAAGCAGATATTTTTGCTTTGTTCTTGATCTTGGGAAGAAAAGCATTCAGTTTTTTATGTTAGCTCTAGGTTTTTTGTAGAATATTGTTTTCAGGTTGAAAGAATTCCCATTCTTGTTTAAACGTGAATAGATGTTGAATTTTGTCAAACACATTTTGTGCATCTTTTCAGATTACTTCTCCTTTTTCTATCTGTGAATATGGTGAATTACATTGATTTTCAAGTGTTGAATCAACTTTGTATTCCTCATATAAAACCTACTTAATGATTAACTTTCTCATATATTGTTTGATTCTATATTCTAAAATTTTGCTTAGCATCTTTACACCTATGCCCATGAGAAATGCTAACCTGTAGTTTTCTTTTCTGGAGACTTTTTTTTTTTTTTTGGATTTGTTACCGTATCTAGTAGAATGGGTTGGAAAGCATTTCCTCCTCCTTTATTTTCTGGAAACGTTTGGGTACAATTGGTATTCTTTCTTTTTTAATTGTTTAGTAGAATTCACCCGTGAATTTCTTTATGGGAACATTTTTAACTATGAATTTCATTTTAAAAATGGATGCATGTTTTTTGTGTTTTTTTTCCCTGAGTGAACTTTGGTAGTTTGTGTCTTTCAAGAAATTTATGTCATCTAAGTCACTAGATTTATTGGCATAAAATTACTCACAACATTACCTTATTATACTGTCATCTTAAGTAATGTTTCTAGTTTTGATGTTAGTAGTTTGTGTGGTTTACTCTCTAGATCACTCTGACTAAAGGGTTATCAGTTCTGTTGATCTCAAGCTTGTCAAAGAACCAACATTTGGTTTTATTAACTTGTCTAGTATTTCTATGATATTGATCTCATTGATTTCTGTTCTTTATTACTATTTTTTTCATTGATTTCTGTTCTTTGTTACTATTTTTTTCTCTCTGCTTTCAGTTTACTTTGCTCTTTTATTTCAGGTTTCTTAAGGTGAAAACTTGGATTGTTTATTTGAGACCTTTATTTTTAATATAAGCATATAATACTCTTGAGATACCTTTAAGCACTGCTTTAGCTGTATCCCACAAATGTTGATATGTTTTGTTTTGTTTTTTTTCTTTTAGAGACAGGGTCTTGCTCTGTCACCCAGGCTGGAGTGCAGTGGTGCAATTTTGGTTCACTTCAACCTCTGCCTCCTGGGTTCAAATGACTCTAACGCCTCAGTGCCCCGAGTAGCGGAGATTACAGGCACACACCACCATGCCTGGCTAATTATTTGTATTTTTACTAGAGACAGGGTTTCACCATGTTGGCCAGGCTGGTCTCCAACTCCTGGCCTCAAGTGATCTGCCCACCTTGAAGGATAAGGCCTTAAGTGATTCACCCTCCTAATGTGCTGAAATTACAGGTGTGAGCCACCACGGCTGGCATTATTTTTCTTTTTATTCAATTAAAAATATTTTCTCATTTATTTGTTTTGTGATGTCTTTGATCAATGAATTATTTATGTGTGCACTTAATTTCAAAATATTTGAGAAATATTCATTTCTCTTACGATTTATAGCTTAACTGCATTGTGTTTGGAGAACATACTTTATATGATTTCAGTCTTAAATTTGTTGATATTTGTTTGATATTGTGATCTATCTTGGTATATGTTCTTGAAAAGAATTTTTTTATTTTGCAAGGGAATGTTCTATAAATGTCAGGTCAAGCTGGTTAATAGTGTCGTTTATGTCTTTTGAGAGGAGTGTTGAGAGTCCTCATTATAATTGTTTATTTGTATGTTTCTCCTGTCAGCTCTGCAGTTTTGCTTCATATATCCTGAAGGTCTATTATTAGGCACATACACGTTAGGAATTTTACATGTATGTAAATACACGTTAGGAATTTTACATTTTCTTGAACAGACTTATCATTATGTTATATCCTTATCTATTCTTTGTAATATTCTTTATCCTCAAGCCGTCTTTATCACATCTGTAGCCACTACAGATTTCTTTGACTTGTGTTTCTATAGTATATCTTTCTGCATTTTTTTACTTTTAAATGTAAATATGTTTATTTAAATAGGTTTCTTGAGGGCAACATGTAATTGGTTCTTGCTTTTTTATCCAATTCTTTGGTCTCTTAATTAAGATGTTTAGACCATGCATATTTAATGGCATGGTTGGATTTCAATCTACCATTTTGATCTTTCTTTGTGTTCTCTTTGTCCCACCTCTTTTATTCTTTTCTCTTTATCTCTTTTGGTTATTTATTTTGTTATCATTTCATTGTATTTCATCATTTTATTTCCTTTTTTTCTTCTTGTCTGTCTTTGCAATTTTTTTCTTAGTGTTTACAATATAATTCTTTAATTTATCACAGCCTGGGTTCAAATTATATTACACCCCACTCCATGTTCAATATAAGAACCTCATAACTATATACTTCCATTTCTTCCCTCTCTCATTTTGTGCTGCTGTTGTCATGTTTTACTTCTATATATGATGTAAGCCCCAGAATGCATGCTTAATGTTTTTACTTTAGCCAATCAACTCTTTTGGAGTTTTAAAATGAGGGGAAAAGTGTCTTTTATATTTATCTGTACTTTTTCCATTTATTGTGTAGAATTAAACTGTTATCTGCTATTATACTTCTTCTGCCTGAAGAACTTCCTTTAATGCTTCTGATAGTACAGATTGACTGGCAATAAATGTTCTTAGTTTTTGTCTGAAAAGGTCTATTTATCTTTCACATTTTCAAACTTTTTTTTTTAATTGTAGTTGAATATATAACGTGAGTTTCACCATTTTCATTGTACAGTTAGTTCATTGGCATTAAGTACATTTACATTGTTTTGCAACTATTACCACCATTCATCTACAGAACTTTTTTTATCCAGCAAAATGAAAACTCTGTATACTCCTCATTCCTCTTTCCACCACCACTGACAACCACCATTTTACTTTCTGTTCCTATAAATTTGGTTATTTTAAGTGCATATCAATAGGATCATATAGTACTTGTCCTTTTGTGACTGGCTTATTTCACTCGGCATTATATCTCCTGGGTTCACCCATGTTGCAGAGTGTGTCAGAATTTCTTTTTTAAGGCTGAATAATATTCCATTGTATGTATATACCATACTTTGTTAATTCATGTGTTAATGGATAAATACATTAGGTTGTTTTTACCTTTTGTCTATTGTGAATACTGCTGCTGTCAAAATGGCTGTACAAGTATCTCTTTGTGTCTCTGTTTTCATATCTTCCGGGTATATCCCCAGAAGTGGAATTACTGGATCATGTGGTAATTCTATTTTTAATTTTTTAAGGAGCTACCATACTGTTTTCCATAGTGGCTGTGCCATTTTGCATTCCCACTAACAGCATACCATTGGGTCCGGCATGATGGCTTATCCCTGTAATCTTAGCACTTTGGGAGGCTGAGGCAGAAGGATCACTTGAGGCCAGGACTTTGAGACCAGTCTGGGAAACAGAACAAACCCCATCTCTACAAAAAAATTGAAAAAGTACCTGGGAGGCTGAAGCAGGAGGATTGTTTGAGCCCAGGAGTTGAAGGTTACAGTGAACTATAATTGTGCCACTTCACTCCAGCCTGGCTGACCGAGCAAGAGCTGTCTCCAGAAACAAAAATGAAGTGCACAGAAGTTCAAATTTCTCCACATTTTTGCCAATACTTGCTATTTTCTGTTTTTTTGATAGTAGTCACCGTGATAGATATATCATCATTTTTAAGAGATATTTTTGCTGGATATAGCTTTTTGAGTTAATAGGTTTTTGTTCCAGTTTTTAAAGTTAGTATTTCCTTATTTTCTGGCTTAAAGAATGTCTACTGCCATTCTTAATATTTGTTCTCTTGTATGTGATGTTTTCCCACTGTCTGGTTGCTTTCAAGATTTTCTCTGTTAGCAATTTGACTATTGTGTGCCCAGATTTTTTTTTCTATTGTATTTATTCTGTTTGGGTTTCTCTCAGCTTCTTAGATGTATGGTTTGTTGTCTTCCTTTAATTGTGAAAATTTTTCACTTGTTATTTTTAATGATATCTTTCTTCTGTTTCATGTGGTTTCTCTTTGGGACTCCAATTTTAAGTGTTAGACTTTTGAATTGTCCAAAGTTCTTAAATGCTCTATTCCTTTTGTTCATTCTTTTTTCTCTTTACATTTCATATTGGATACTTTTTGTTTACCTGGCTTCAAGTTCACTGATGTCCCAGCTGTGTCTTCAAAGCTTAGCAAAATATGTATTTTTTTTAAAATCTTGATTAGCATGAATTTTCCCCTCTGGATTTCCATTCACTTGATTTTTTATACTTTACGTTTCTCTGCTGCTAGCCCCCAGCTGTTTATGCAGGTTGGACCATACTCTCCCTTCTTTGCTCCTGTCCTCTGTCAGTGGGTATTTACTTCCTGTGTTTGTCTCTCCTCTGAATGGATGAGCACTCTTTAGCATTCAGTTCACCTGTTTGCTTTGTAACCTCAACTCCCTAGTGGGCTCAAGAAAAGTTATGGTTTTGTAATTTATCCTGCTTTTTCTTTCACCCTGTCAGGATGGGAACAACTTTCTTTTGCAACTTTCTACATCCCAGGTGAAAGCAGGACTCTTAACAGTTTATATACAGATTTTCAAGATTTCATATAAAGAAAACTTGAGAGCTTTTAAAAATTCAGGGAACTCTAAATGGAAAGCTATTTTAGAGAAAGTGATAAATTTATAAAAAATGAACCTTGGAAGCACTCCTGTGGTTCTCAGATCACACTTGTTTAGTCACTGTGAATAGCTGCGGTTAAGTAGATAAAGTGAGGAGAAGGCTGAGAGAGCCATGAGAGGTAAGCAGAATGATTTCATGAACTGTTACATTTGAATTTGTACAGACCAAATCTTTTCTATGTGGTTATCAGTAAAAAGCCTCTAAACACTGTAAGTCCATTTATATCTCTATTTCTAAAGGGGTTTTAAACAAAACTTTTGCATATTTCTGGAATTCTGAATTAGAGGAGCCTTGATACTTTGCAGCTGACAGTTACCATGACAGGTTGACAGTATTTAGGATTATGGTAATTCATCTGATCTTTTTCTGAAGTCTCCAGCATGCCTTTGAAATGAGCTGTTATTCACATAAAATTCCATGATACTTTAATAGTTAGGATAGGTTTCTTGCCACATACCATTGACTAGATCTTGATCTTAAAGTCTTTTTCTAGAAGTTCTTGAAAGAAAGAATCAAATATTGTTTACATTTTCCAACACTGTCATATCCACTGGCAAGTGCAAAGGCATCAGCAAATACTTTAGTTGTGATAAGCGCTGTAGGAAGTGGCAGGACCTCAGCTTTTTCTTAAAATAATTGTGTATACTGGAAAGACATTGATTCAAATGCATTCACCATAAAGCTATAGACCGAGAACCTCGTTTTATTCATCACACTAGGACCTATGCCAGCATTGCTTCATCTTTGGCTTTTGTTATATCCTGTTTTATTAAGTTAAAAAGCAGTTAAATTTTTTTTCACCTACACTCCATTAGTAAAATGAAATTTTTGAACGCTCTCTCATGTGTATATATAACTGTTTTATATAAAGTACCTACATGTATCACTGTTCTGGTATAATTAATGTGTTATAAAGCATACAGAGAATAAGGACATTTAAAAAGAATGAGGAAGAGATGAATCATCTTGTAAACTTCCTGACCACACACACCACAAAGAGACCACTTGTCTTTTTTGAGACACAGGAGTTGGGTTTTTTTTTTCTGATTATACTTCCAATGTGTCCTTCAGGTTCTTGCATATGATATAAAAGCAATTTAAAAAATTGATAACCAAGGCCCAGAAGTAAACTTAACATTCATGGTTACTTTTATTTAACCAGGACCTCCTATAATGCAAGTTTTTCTGATCATGGGAACCTTATTGACTAAGCAAACAAAAGGCTGTAATTTTTTTGTCATTGTCAGTACATTCCATAATTTACAGGTTTGAAGTTGTAATGTCAGTGTTAAAGTTATATTAAGAATACTAATTTTACTAAGCTTATTTTTTTTTTCAGATGACATTAAAGTATCAGTAAATGATTTTATCATCAAGGCAGCAGCTCTTACCCTTAAAGTAAGTAGCAGATTTCAAATTATTTTGTCTTCTAAAGTAGTTTCATGTCGTGGAATTTTTATAATGACAAATAGAACTCTTATTTTTAAATCACAAAAATTTTATAATTGTCTTGCTAAAAATATTCTATCATTTGATCTCACTCCTTACTAATGAAGAAGCTGCAAATCAAAAGGACTCACAACTAATTAGAGCAGAATAAAAACCAGTTTTTCAGCAAATACTGATTGATCCCTTATCTGATGCTGCATGCATTCTAGGCATTCGAGATACAGCAGTAAACAAAGCTTACATGATTCCTGCTCTCCTGAGGCTTACATTCTAGTTGGAGGAGACAAACACTACTACTATATGTCAGATGGTGAAAGTGCTGAGGAGAAAACAAAAGGATATGGGGACAAAGTAACTAGGGGTGCTTTTTCGAAAAGGAAGCAAGGGAAACCCCTTTGACAAGGTGATAACTGAGATACGGTGTGAGAAAACAGAGGGAGTAAGCCACATAGGTATGTGATAATAGTGCATTCCACACAGAGGGACCAGCAGACATTGAGGCTGCGAGCAGAGAATTGCGTTATCCAAAGATGTGAAGCTGAGGGTGGACTGTACCTAGAGTGGAGACAGCGGGAGATAAGATTTTAACAACAGTGGGAGAGCAGGAAGGGGAACCGAAGTACATGAGGCCTTATTGGACATGGTGAGGAGGGTTTTGAGCAAAGAACTAAAGTGATTCAACTTGTACTTTAGAAAGGAAAAGGAGAGGCTGCCCTGGGGCTGTGTAGAATATGGCCTGTGGAGAGGCAAGGGAGGAGGAGATAATGAGTTCCTCTGGGAGGCTTTAGAAGATGACAGTGGCTTGGACAAATGTGGTAGCAAATGGAGCTAGGGCGAAGTGGAGATTTTGGTTATGTGTCGAAAGTAGAGCCAACAGGATTTGCTGATGGATTGGATATGGGGTGTGAGAAAGAGGAACAAGCATTTTGGCTCAAGCAGTGGGAGGGATGAGTTTTCCACGTACTAAGATTGGGAAAACTGGGAGAAGTATAGCTTTGGAGTAAGGAATCTAGAGTTTCGTTTTAGACATGTTAAATTTGAGGAAGCCTAACAGATGTCCCAGTGGAGATGGCAGGAAGGCAGGTGAACATACGAGCCTGCAGTTCAGTGGAGGTGATGTAAACCTAGCTGGCTAGAGATGTAAATCTAGAATCCAGGCTTCTTGCCTTCCTGCCTGACACGATTTTTCATCATGCCTTCTTTCTGTCATGAAGCTGTTTTCTGGGATCACTGCTTGTTAACAGACTGTATTTAAAGTACATTTATAATTAACTTGTTTTTATTTCTTAAAAATTATATTAATAAGGAGGGTTCCATGGTGTAATGGTTAGCACTCTGGACTTTGGAAAATACATTAATGCAGAACTTAAAAAGCATGCCTTTTCAACATTATCTAAGTATTCATGTAACTTTTCTCTTTTGATCAAATATTTTGAATTAATGATTTTATTATTAATTGACTATTGTGATTAATATCATTGTGAATCATTTCATACTCCTTAAATAAATCTGTAATTGGCATAAGCTATTTGTTAGTATTTTATTGCATAATGTTTTGTATCCAGAATCACAAGTAGTGGTAATTTAAATTTTGTGCCAACATTATCAGACCCTTTTCCCCCTAATTATTGACTTCATTAAATGAATTTGGATTATTTCTTCTTTTCTTTCCTCTGTACTCATTGCAACAGTATGAAATTTTTTTATCTTTTCTAGTTTTATATAATTCACCAGTAAAAGTATCTGAACCTGTTTCTATTTTAAGGAGGGGATCTTGACAGCCTCCCCCCGCACCCCCCCCCGTCCGCCACCTTTTTTTAATCATAATTACTGATCTGTTTTAATTTTCAGCTTTTTTAAAAAATCAATTTTAAAAGCTTATATTTTCCTAGAAAATCATTTAATTTAGATTCCCAAACTCACTAGCCTAGAGTCATTTGAATTTGTTTCTTCTAATTATTTTAACATCCTCAATGCCTGGGGTTATTCTGAACTCCATTTCACTTCTATTGCATACTTATATTCTTAGTTTGTATGGTTTTGTTATGTATATCTTCCTTTATTTCTCTAGATTCATTTTGGTTAGAAAACATGAATGTGTAATTCATTTTATTTTTTTTATTGTACTTTAGGTTCTGGGGTACATGTGCAGATCATGCAGGATTGTTGCATAGGTACACACATGGCAATGTGGTTTGCTGCCTCCATCCCCCCGTCACCTACATCTGGCATTTCTCCCCATGTTATCCCTCCCCATCCCCCAACTGTCCCACCCTCGCCCCCCCCCCACAGACCCCAGTGTGTGATGCTCTCCTCCTTGTGGCCATGTGTTCTTATTGTTCAACACCTGCCTATGAGTGAGAACATGTGGTGTTTGATTTTCTGTTCTTGTGTCAGTTTGCTGAGAATGATGGTTTACAGATTTGTCCATGACCCTACAAAGGACACGAACTCATCAATTTTTATGATTCCATAGTATTCCATTCTGTATATGTACCACATTTTCCTTGGTTCCAGGTCTTTTTTATTGTAAACAGTGCCTCAGTGAACATATGTGTGCATGTGTCTTTATAATAGAATGATTTATAATCCTTTGGGTACATACCCAGTAATGGGATTGCTGGGTCAAATGGAATTTCTATTTCTATGTTCCTGAGGAAGCGCCACACTGTCTTCCACAGTGGTCGAACTAACTTACACTCTCACTAACAGTGTAAAAGTGTTCCTTTTTCTCCACATCCTCTGTTGTCTCCAGATTTTTTAATGATCGCCATAATGAGAAGGTTTAAGATACAGATTTTTAAGACTGGCAGATCACGAGGTCAAGAGATCGAAACCATCCTGGCCAACATGATGAAACCTCTACTAAAAAATAAAAAAATTAGCTGGGTGTGGTGGCACGCACTGGTAGTCCCAGCTACTCAGGAGGCTGAGGCAGGAGAATTGCTTGAAACCCGGGAGGTGGAGGTTGCAGTGAGCTGAGATCATGCCACTGCATTCCATCCTGGTGCCTGCCTGGTGACAGAGCAAGACTCTGTCTCAAAAAAAAAAAAAAAAGAGATTTTTAATACAGCTTTGACTGTGTCCTGTAGGTTTTCTTTACATTTTATAATTAAATTTATTTGCCAGATACTCTTTATTCATCAGGGCTTTGTTTGTTTCTCTTTTAGTGGTGTCTATGAAGAATTTCAAATCTTCTGAGGGGTTGGGACTTTATTCTTTTAACATAGTGACATTGTTGAATGCGTGAAAGATGGAAAAATGGAAGAGCAATTGAAAAGCAACGTGAAAGTAGCCTTGAAATGGAAGTTAGCATAGCATGACAGTGAGCCAAGTGGAAGATATATCTCGGGGGAGTGGTCACAAGTGAAATGAAATAGAGTGGAATCAGATTGTATATTGCCATGCTTAAATGACATGCCAGGAGGCCTGGATCTTCTTCGTTAGAAAACAGAATTTTTGATAACAGCAATTTCCTTTTGATTTCTGTTTTTCAGCATCATTTTCACCTGTGATACAGGGAAACATTAGTAATAGGGTTTCCAGGCATTTAGTAATTTGATTCTTTTTTTTATCCTCAGTATAGTTGCTTGCATGTCAAATGTATGTATGTTCATATTATATAGTATATGTCAGGTGTTTATGAAGCTTATGAAATCTCTTTTAAATTGGGAAGTAATTTATTGAAGACCTGCTTATATATATATATATATATATATATATATATATATATCCCAAAGCTGGACTAGAAAGTAAGATTTCCTTCATGCTGAAGAAGTAATGTGATCTAATATCATTATCCTTTTCCACTTTCCTCCTCCCCTCAAGATCATGTTCATTATCATATGAGGTAAGAAGTACAACAGACATTAAATACCTTCTAGCAATCAGGAAAGAAAGCCCTTTTTTTCCCCACCGTTATATGAAGAGATCAAAACATGTAACTCATCAGAAAAGGTGGTATGATGTTTCTCAGTAAACTGACACAAGAACAAAAAATCAAACACCACATGTTCTCACTCATAGGTTACTGTTGAACAATGAGAACACACGGACACAGGGAGGGGAGGATCACACACTGGGGTCTGTTGTGGGGGAATAGGGGAGGGACAGCGCAGGGTAGGGAGGTTAGGGTGGGATACCATGGGGAGAAATGCCAGATATAGGTGATGGGGGGATGGAGGCAGCAAACCACATTGCCGGGTATGTATGTACCTGTACAACAATCCTGCGTGTTCTACACATGTACCCCAGAACATAAAGTGCAATAAAATACATATAAAAGGTGGTATGTTTAATTATTCTTGGCAAACATGAAAGATAATTGACATAGAAATCCAAACCATTTTTTCAAACCAAATTTTTGTTTTCTTTTGTTTAGCTATGTTCACTTTGGAAAATGCACAATAATTTTATTTTTCTATAACCACCTTGGTCTAAAGCTGCTTTTTAAATAACATGTTTTTTCTGTTTCTAGCAAATGCCAGATGTTAACGTAAGCTGGGATGGAGAGGGCCCAAAGCAACTGCCATGTATTGACATTTCAGTGGCTGTGGCAACAGATAAAGGCTTAATTACACCAATCATTAAAGATGCTGCTGCTAAGGGTATCCAGGAAATTGCTGACTCTGTAAAGGTATGTCTTAAGGAAGACTGGGCTTTCAAAATGTTAGCATATAGTTTTGCATAATTACTTTCTGATAAAGTCTTGACTTAATCTAGTCAGACTGTGATTTTGTGTGTGTGTGAAGGAGAGAGTTACTTCAAATGATTGTCACATATATAGGTTTTTAAAGTTTTTATCCAAGTATGACTCATTATAAGAAAATTTAATATTCAAAAATTAAGAGATCTATAAATAAATTAGAGAATAATTTCATTCATGCTAAAGATGAGCTTTATTTTCCAAAGTCCAGAATTCAACCCTAAAGATGCTATTTCAGGTAGGTTTTAAAGTTGAAGTTAAGTTGAAACTATATTTCTGTATAAGTGGTAATAGATAGACCTCAGTGTTAATAACATTTTATTCTTAAAGTGTATTCACTTCTTCTCTAAAATTAAGACAATTAAAATGACGTCGCAGCCAGGTATAGTGGCTCAAACCTGTAATCCCAGCACTTTTGGAGGCTGAGGCAGGAGGATCACAAAGTCAGGAGATCAAGACCAACCTGGCCAACATGGTGAAAGCTTGTCTCTGCTAAAAATACAAAAATTAGCTGGGTGTGATGGTGCATGCCTATAATCCCAGCTGCTTGGGCGGCTGAGGCATGAGAATCACTTGAACCGGGAGGCAGAGGGTACAGTGAGCTGAGATCCACCACTGCACTCCAGCCTGGTAACGGAGGGAGATTCCGTCTCAAAAAAATAAAAATGAACTTAGTGTTCTAGAGGCAAAGTTGCTTTATTTCGTCAGGATTTCTTGAAAAGCAGTTTTTGTAACTCCAGTGTGAAGGAATTTTATTTCACCAAAAAAACAGCACATTAAATAGGCAGGAACATAGGCAGTGGGTCAGCTTTGACAGCCTCAGTAATTTCAAAGGGTGTTTTTTGACAGAAGTATCACAAGTCTCAAAGTGATTGCATTGAAAATTTCTGATTCATTGGTTAAGTGATTCTCTTTCCATTTGCCAAGGACCTGTTATATATATAGTGGTAGAACAGTTTATAAATTTAAAAGGGCGATAAGAGGTAGAAGGTAAGACTTCTTTGGGGAGCCGACAGTATATAAACGTGTAAACCTTCTTACTCAAAATAAATAAATATGTACAAGTTAATCTAGCTTTAAAAGCATACCCATAAATACTGAGTTTACTTGGAATTTTACAGGTAGATATAATTAAAAGTGAATCCACTAGAATTGATATTTTTAGGTCTTTCTTCACTCCTCTTTGAAAAGATTTGCAGAAAGTGTTCGTATAGATAAAAATGCAACTGTTAATTGAAAGATGAGGCCGGACATGGTGGCTCATGCCTTATTCCCAGCACTTTGGGATTCTGAGGCAGGTGGATCACTTGAGGCCAGGGGTTTGAGACCAGTCTGGCCAACATGGTGAAACCCCATCTCTACTAAAAATACAGAAATTAGCCTGGCGTGGTGGTGCACACCTGTTACCTCAGCTGCTTGAACCTGGGAGGGGGAAGTTGCAGTGAGCTGAGAGCACACCATTGCATTCAAGCCTGGATGACAGAGCAAGACACTGTAACTCCAAAAAAAAAAAAGAGAGAGAGCGAGAGAGAGAAAATGTTAGCATTAGTTTGGTCAATTCAAAAGTCAAAGTAGTAGAGATTGGTTTACTGGGATATATTATGTCCCTTATATTTATCAAGGGTTTTCAGCAACACTGAGAATACTTGTATCTGTGTTTTTGTGAAGGTTAAATGAGATTAAGTGTTGAAACAACTTGTAAAATATAAAGTACTATTATAATGTTATGGAACTGAACTGCAGAGCTAGAATTTCCTTATTTTTATATACATTACATTTAAAAAATTAACCATTATAGGAAGATTTCCTTGATTCTGAGCAATTTACAAAGTTTGCTACTATAATACGTAACTCTCAAGTAGCTATGTTAGCTTTCTCCGTTCCTTGCATCCTGAAAGACCCTAAGTTTAAGAGGTAAGGAGGCAGTCTCACCAGCCTCTCAGCTGGGCCTCACAGCAATGGGAAGGGCAGTCATAACCCTGTGGAGTGTAGTGGTCTCTGGTGGTCCTTGGGCATTTCCTGTAACTAAAGCAGGAACTCGGAGTTTGCTGAGCTCTGGCTGCCCTGTGTGCGTCTTATTCTGCCTGCTTCTCTTTCCCACCCTGCTCTCTGATCAGCACTTCACTCTTGTTCTTACACTATGCCAGGCACTGGGCTAAATGCTTCATTTAATCCTATTAACCCAGTACAATTGGAACCTTCTTTTTGAAATTCAGGAGATTGAGTTTTAGCAACTTTGACAAATTTGCCTAAGGCAATACAGCTAGAAAGCAGTGGCAATGAGTACTAGTTAACACAAGCAGTTTGATTCTAGAGCCCCTACTTAATGATCTTTCTATTATACCACCTTTCTCCTTCCTTTTACTGTTTACCTTTTTTTTTTTCCTGAGTAATCCTTTACTTCTCTACTTCCTCTTTGCTTTTTCTCCCTCAAAGTTACTAAAAAGGAAGGTTTGATTTGGTCCACTGTGTAGTACTTTATTTTATGAAGTATTCTTGCTGGACAGGTCACTCATGCCAGGCCAATGTATCACATGGTACAGGGCATAACAACCTGATAGACATAATCAATCGTCTGTGGTTGTACTCAGAAGAAATATGAGGCCTCCCATGAGAAGCAGTTACCTTGCATGGCCTATTAAGCATAGTAGTTCTCTAGTTTACAAGAAAGAGAGACACAGTATGTGTGTGCACACCTGTGTGTAATAGAGAAATATCTGAGTGCCTGCAAAATTAGTTTATTGCTGAAATGGTTTATCTCGTTAGCAAGATTATTTTTAAAACTTAAATCTTGGATAGTTTAAACTGTGGCTTAAAAACTAAATATTTTAGATAGGCTCTATAGAGATATGTTCATTTAGCTGCTGTGGACTAATAGGCGTTAAAAATATGTATGCACCAAGTAGAAACCCTGAGAGAGAGAAAGAAAGAGAGAGAATGTGTGTGTTCTTCATGTTCAGTGTAAATTTTGACTCAATTCCAAGTCAAGCAAAATTATATTGAATTCAGCTTTGCTGTGCAAAAAACAGCATCTGCCTGAGTGTGCAAGTGTAGTAGTGGGTTGTAAAGTTGGTAATAAATGGATTTTTCTGTCCTGTGCTTTAATATTGTTATATTTTACCCCTGTCCCCCAAACAGGGTAGACAGCAAATATTCCATTTATGGAATAGTGCCATTTTATACAGTTTGATTCTTGTCAGTATGTCTACATCAGGCTTTGTGCAATGGCTTATTAAAAAGTAGAATGTTTATGTATTTAAACCAGGCGTCCCCAAACTATGGCCCAGGGGCCGCATGCGGCCCCCTGAGGCCATTTATCTGGCCTCCTGCCACACTTCAGGAAGGGGCACCTCTTTCATTGGTGGTCAGTGAGAGGAGCACAGTATGTGGCGGCCCTCCAACGGTCTGAGGAACAGTGAACTGGCCCCCTGTGTAAAAAGTTTGGGGACGCCTGATTTAAACAGATAAAATTTAGAATGATTTTAATTCCAGGGTAAAATCTGCTCCAGCCCAGAGAGAAAAATGGTTATTTCATATATGAATATAGTATTTGTAATCCTCTTGTTTAAAAAGACATAGAATTTCTAGAAGTATTTGTACAGTTTAACAATTTTAACAACTCTAACAAAATAGCAGCTGGCATACTTTGTACCAGTTTTTGCTGTAAGCCTTTTATGTAAATCCTCTTTAAAAACACCCTATCAAGTATAAGATAATAATTTGATATGGTTGATGAAGCAACTGTTGGGGAAAAAGAGGTTAAATAATTTGCCCCGAATTTTATGCTTATTAAATGATGTAGCCAGCATCAGAACCCAGTCAGACTGTAGACTAGAGCCTGTACCCCACCACTCAGCTTTTCTGTTTCTCACATACTAGTATATAACTAGTAGTGGTCAGGTTATCAACCTTCTAGAATCAGTAATGTTTTCTCTGAAAAAAAAAAAAAAAAAAAAAAAAAAAACTTGAGAAGCAGCTCCTGCACTTTGAGAAATAAACAAGAAGAATAGCTAAAGACTCAACAGTTACACCAAATGCACCATAATGAGTTGATTCACCAGGTAGAAGAAAAGGAGTACAGTCACTGGTTTTCTATGTCTGTAAGACCAACCTTTTGATTTGGAATTTAAGATACTGTAGTTCTCTCTTATCCAAGGTTTCACAGGTTTTAGTTACCTGTGGTCAACCACAGTTGAAAATAAATGAGTACTATACAAGATATTCTGAGAGAGACCACATTCACATAAATTTTACATTGTTAAAATTGTTCTGGGTTTGTTTTTTTTTTTTTTTTTTTTTTTTTTTTGAGACAGAGTACCCTGTCATCCAGGCTGGAGTGTAGTGGCGGGATCTTAGCTTACTGCAACCTCCACCCCCCCCCCCCCCCACCCGTCCCAGGTTCAAGCAATTCCCTGCCTCAGCCTCCTAAGTAGCTGAGATTATGGGATTACAGGCACCTGCCACCACGCCCAGCTAATTTTTGTTATTTTAGTAGAGATGAGGTTTCACCATCTTAGCCAGGCTGATCTTGAACTCCTGACCTCGTAATCCACCCACCTGAGCCTCCTAAAGTACTGGGATTACAGGCATGAGTCACTGTGCCTGGCCTGTTTTATAATTAGTTATTGTTGCTAATCTGTTACTGTGCTTAATTTTTAAATTAAACTTTATCATAAGTATGTATGTGTAGGAATAAATAGTACAGTCATGCATCACTTAACTTCAGGGATGCATTCTGAGAAATGCACGGTTAGGTGATTTTGTCATTGTGTGAACATCATAGAGTGTACTTACACAAACCTAGATGTTAGAGACTACTACACTACAAACCAAGGCTTTGTGTGGTGCAAACCTGCAATACAGCATATTACTGTACTGAATAGTATAAGGAAATAGTGCTACAATGGTAAGTATTTGTGTGATAGGAATTTTTCGGCTCCATTGTCATCTTACGGGACCACTGTCATATTTGTGTTCTGTCTTTGGCCTAAGTATCCTTATGTGGCTCTTGACTGTATGTATAGAGTTCAGTATTATCTGCCATTTCAGGCATCTACTGTGGGTCTTTGAAGTATCCCCCACAAATAAGGGAGGACTACTTATTCCTCCTTATTTTTGCAAGTGGGGGAAAAAGGGTTAAGAAAGAAGAGACCTGAGTCAAACGGAAGAGTACTCTGCCAAAGAAGCAGTGAGGGTTCCAGGAGGAATGTGAGGCTGTGGTCTTAGCAAATAGGCAGTGGATTAGAGAACCTACAGCAAAGAGACCAAGGCTTTCTACCTGGTGAGGCAGGAGCAGTCGTTTTGAGAAGACTGTGGGATCATGAACAGGTTGAGCTCTGGATTCTCAATAGCAGACATACTACCCAGTACACACTTCCCTCTGATCGTCACTTGGGCTGGCTCTTTTTCATCATTGGTTTCTCCATTCACTTGCTAATTTCTTAGGCCTTCTGCAGCGTCCATAGCTGAAATAGTTCTCTAACACTCTTTTTTTTTTTTTTAATTTAAATTTTTTTTTTAAAGACAGGGTTTCACCATGTTGGCCAGGCTGATCTTGAACTCCTGACCTCAGGTGATCCACCCACCTTGGCCTCCCAAAGTGCTGAGATTACCCGGCCACTTCCCTAACACTCTTATCTCATTACCCTGTTTTATTGTCTTCATATGATTTGTTACTCTTTGAAAAGTACCTTGTTCATTTCTTTTTTCACCCTTCTGTGTTCCCTACTGTCTGATGCTCACTGTCCATTGCCATTTATCTAATTCTAGAAGAGTGCTTGGAATGCAGTCGTTGCTTGATGAATGTATTTTAAAACAAATTTCGTATGTTTTATTGAAATTAATTTTTCAAGAGTTTGTGGCTTCCTGCAGATTCATCGATGAACCCCAGGTTAAGAACACTTGTACTATGCATTTACTTTTTGACCCTCAGTAATCCCAAGGATGCCAGTGTGGGGACTGTAGGCATGCCCCAGCCAAGTTCAAGTTGGTATTCCTTGAATAAAGTAATGTAATAACATGCCTTGGATCCTGTGCTGTTCTTAATTCTTCATTACTTGTAACAGTATTAAAAGGCAGAGGCAAAAGTTTATCTTATAAGTACTCAGTAACTTTTTCCGAATGAGTTAGCAAGGCATGTGTTGTATTATAGAAATATTTGCTGGTCATTTTTTGTTCTTTGAGCTAGATGCTTCAAGTAACATATACCTTTGCTTTTAAGACCACATTGTCAGGAAAGCCCAATGATAATTACAAATTTATAAAATCAGTAGTCCTTCTTAGACTCCATACCTATTTCAGACTCTTACTAGAGTTCACTGACAGGAATTTCTTGTTGATATATTTAGGATCTAGAGAGTTTAGGTTTTGTTTTTTTTTTTTTTTTTTTTTTTTTAGTATATGTGCTTGCAATCTAGTTATTAAAATGAATTTTTTTCATTTGTTGCAGTGTGGTAATTCAGGATATATTGAGACCATCTGCCTTTAAAAACTGCCCATTGCTTGCTTTTAGGTTTTATTAGCCAATATTTGGTTTTTCACTATAGGCCACAGTGGACTCTGATGTATTCCTGTCTAGCTTCTACACAAAAAGCATTCCTAAACTGCTGAATCAAAACATAGGTTCATCTCTCTGAGATGAATGCACAAAGTTCATATATGTATCTTTTCAAATCATGTGAACAATTACCTTGCTTAAGGGAGGAAAAATGCATTTGTCGATTATTCTCTCTCCTGTTATTCCAAGAACTATAGAAGTCAAAGGTCATCTCATTTTTTACTTTGGATCCAAATAGTGTTATAAATAGCTATATCTAAATTGTATACACCTGTAATCGTTTTCATCTATGAGTTAAATAGTTATCAACTGTGATTGTAATAGTGCCTATGTAATACAAAATATTAAGTGAACCTCTCATTTATTTTATCTGCCCTAATGACAGTGACTTCATTTTTCTCTACCCTTCCTCTTAATGCATTATTGTTTATATATCATGACTCAACCTCTGTTCCTTTGCTTTTGTAGCACTGAAAAATAAAAATTAACAGAAACATGATTAATTCCAAGTACAAGTGAGAGGAAAATTTAATTAATGTGTCATCTGTCTTATCTTCTGTAAGATTTTTAGAAATCGATATGATCAAGAGTGATATGAATCAACTACATCCTTATATCCCTTGTGGCAGTGTAAATTGGACTAGCTCATTAAGGAAGTGATTTAGCTATAGGATCAAGAACCAAAAGAAGTCTGTGCTTTAGGGCACTGCAATTCCACTTCTGAAATTTTACTTGAAATAATTTAGAAGAAACTAGTGAAACAAATTATGACACTGGGAAATAACCAAGTAAATTAGGCAGATGCATTCTTTAGGAACAATCATTTAAAAATCATTTCTGAAGGCTGACAACATAGAGGATACATATAATATTGAATAATGAAATATAAAATTTTGTTTTTTATAACCATTGTGTGAGATTGAGATTGTGGATGAAAATGAAGTAAACTGGAAAGATAAAAACTGAATATTGGTTGTAGGATTGTGGATATACTATTTTGGTTGCCATTAGATAATTTATTTAAAACACACTAGATGGGTCAGGCATGATAGCTCACACCTGTAATCTCAGGACTTTGGGAAGCCAAGGCAGGTGGATCACTTGAGGTCAGGAAGAGTCCAGCCTGACCAACATGGTGAAACTCCATCTTTACTAAAAATACGAAACATTAGCTGGGTGTGGTGGTGGGTGCCTGTAATCCCAGCTGCTCTGGAGGCTGAGGCAGGAAATCACTTGAATTTCGTAGACAAAGGTTGCAGTAAGCCAGAATCATGCCACTGCACTCTAGCTAGGGCGACAGAGTAAGATTCCCTCTCAAAAAAAAAAAAAAAAACAACTAAAAAAAAAGGAAAAACACCAAATTGACCAGAATGGATTCTTGTATTTTTTTTCTTAGAATAAAAAGTATTATAGGCAAAATAGAAAATTTCATTTCATACATAGCAAACTCTAAAGCATTCTGCATGGTAGTTGATGGTACACAGGGTAATTCCCATATTTGAAAAATTGTTAAAGGAAGTGATTATTCTAGAGTTTTGATTAACATTTTTAGTTTCTTGAATTATCTGTGCTTTTGTTTATTCTTATAATTAGAGAAAATTAGTTTTATATAGGTAACAAAGTCAAATCAAGGCATGTCAGATTGAGAGTGTACCACATACAAATATTTCAAGTGACAAGATCAACTGTATAACATTTTGTTGGTTGTCATACTCTGTTTATATTTTTCTCAGGCTCTATCAAAGAAAGCAAGAGATGGAAAATTGTTGCCTGAAGAATACCAAGGAGGGTCTTTTAGGTAAAATTTAAACTCTTAATTATCCATAGCATCAAACAGATATAAAAGTCCATGTCAGCCTTTCATTTATCTGAGATAATTTTTTTAATTTAATCAAAAAATACTTTATTTAGACAACAGAATACGGGGAAATACTCTTCAGACTAGTCAGGCTTTCATATTAAAGCTAGTAGGAACCTATCAGTGTTGAACTAAACGTTCGTTGAACATTGACTAACATGGAGTGGTCAATACTATGTATTCTTTAATATTTGACCTCCACAATATCAATGTCTGTGATACTGCTATGTGAAACAGCCACTTATATGGTATTGCAGTATATAATACTCTATTGTATAAATATACCAGAATCCATTTTACTGTTGATGGGCATTTATGTTGCTTCCAGTTCGGTACTATTACAAATAATGGTGCTACGAACATTCTTATTGGTGTCTTATGGTGAATATGTGTACACTTTTTGTTATATAGATCTAAAAGTAGAATTCCTAAGTTAGAAGCTTCAGTCGATACTGCCAAATAGTTTTCCAAATGATTATACAAATCTATACTTCCATCAGCAATCCTGAGAATTCCTATTGCTCCACATTCTTGCCATTGTTTAATGTTAGGTTTTAAATTTTAACAATTCTTGGAGTGTGTAGTGGTACTGTTTGTGGTCAGTGATGTGCAAATTAGTGATGTTGAGTACTTTTCACTCATCAGCCATTTGGGTATCTGGTAATTCATGAGATAAAGTACCCATTGCAATCCGGTGTCCATTTTAAAAAAAAAGATGTATAGTACTTATTTCCAGATGCACAGTCCTTTGTAGGATGTATATTGTTTCATATACCTTTCACCCTCTGTGACGTGCCTTTGGGGCTCTCTCTCGGTGATTTTTTTAAATGAATGGAAGTTCTGAATTCTAATGAATTCCTTTTTATCAGTATTTTTCTTTATAGTTGACGTTATTTGTTTTCTGTTAGGATATTTTGCCTATCCCAGAGTTACGAAGTTACTCTTCTATGTTATCTTCTAAAAGCATTGTACTTTACTTGTCGCATGTAGATCACAATTCATCTGAAATTGGATTTTGTATATAATGTGAAGTTCAGAGTTCTCTTTTTTTCCCCATATGGATACTAAGTTTGAACAGCATCATTTATTGAATATTGATCTCTCCTTTTTCATGGCATTGAAAAAGTGTTTGTATAAGTATTGGTCTGGTTCTGTGCAGTTTTTTTTTCCACTGGCCTGTTTCTCTGTCCTTTGTTTACTGCCACCAAGCTACAACTCTTGACAGCTGATAATGAAGTCTTCCAATTTTGTTTACCCTCAAGATTGTATTCTGGCTTTTCATATTTCCAAATAAAATTTAACATTGATTTGCACGCGTGCACACGCATACACACACACCTTGCTGGAATCTTGATTGTGATTGCATTAATTCTTTTGATGGTTTGAGAACTGACATCCTTACAGTATTGAGTCTTCTAACCAGTGAAGATGGTAGAAACCATTGTGTATTCAGTTCTTTGATTTCTTTCAGTTATGGTTTATAATTTTCTGTGTAGAGGTCTTATATATGTTTCATTGGCTTTATTCTTTGGTATTTTTTGGATACTATTATAAAAGGTATTGTCTTAAATTTTTATTTTCTAATTATAGCAACTTGTATTTAGAGTCATTTGCCACTTTATGATGAGGATATGAGAAATACATAGGCAGTTTCATCACACAAACATCATAGAGTATACTTTCACAAACCTAGATGGTATAGCCCACTACACACCTAAGCTGTATGATGTAGCCCGTCACTTCTAGACTACAAACCTGTACAGCATGTTACTCTACTGAATACCGTAAGCAGTTGTGACACAATAGTGAGTATTTGGGTATCTAAACATATCTAAACAGTTTAAGATGTACGGTAAAAATATAAAAAATAAAACGTGGTATACCTGTTTAGATCACTTACTGTGAATGGAGCTTACAAGACTAGAAATTGCTCTGTGTGAATCAGTGAGTGAATGAAGGCTTAGGACATCTCTATATACTACTGTAGACTTTATAAGCACTATATACTTAGGCTACACTAAATTTATTTTTAAAATAAAGTAATTGCAATATGACATTTTTCACAGCTATGATGCCACTAGGCAATAGGGAATTCCTCAACTCTATTATAATCTTATAAGAGCACCATTGTATATATGATCCTTTTTATGCGAGACATGACTCTAGATATAAAATGGGTTTTTTATATTGACCTTTTATCTGATGACATAAATAAATTTACTTATTACTTTTACTAGTTATCTGTAGTGTCTTATTTTTCCTAAGTACACAATTTATTTGTGAATACTAAATGTTTGCTTTTTTCAGTACTTATATATATATTTTTTCTTGCCTTACTACACTGCCTAGTAAAATATATAAAATATATGCTTCAGGGAAAGGGGACTTTGATAAGGATGTACTTCCCTCAGAGCTTTTTGTTTTCTCTCTAGTATTTCCAACTTGGGGATGTTTGGCATCGATGAATTTACTGCAGTGATTAACCCTCCTCAGGCCTGCATTTTGGCTGTTGGGAGGTTCCGACCTGTGCTGAAGCTCACTGAGGATGAAGAGGGAAATGCCAAACTGCAGCAGCGCCAGCTCATCACAGTCACAATGTCAAGTGACAGTCGAGTGGTTGATGACGAACTGGCAACCAGATTTCTTAAAAGCTTTAAAGCAAACCTAGAGAATCCTATCCGACTTGCCTAATCCTCAGAGATAAGTTGGTGTTCGGCTTAGTTGATTCAGTAGTTTTTACTGAGAAACATACGTTATAGAAAAACAACTAGCTATTTAAGTATGAAGTGGATGAAATGTTTATTTAAGGTGAAAGCATTTGACCCAGGGTGTCTTCATTTTCAATTTGGGTTTAATGTTATAACATAAATGATGATAAACTGTAAATAATAAAGGAAAGAGAATATTTGGTTACTCAAATCCATTTTTAACCTCTGGTGCTGTATAAAGGGAATATTAAACTAGATGTAAATCAAGTATATGTTTGGCTCATTTGAGCATTTTAGAATATTTGAGAATGTATGATACATGTAAAATTTAAAAACTGTTATAACTCTACCATAATTGTGTTGAAGTTAGAAGTGATCTTCAAAGAGATACCCATTAACTTAGCAGTGGGACCTCACTTTTACAAGCACTGCTCTAGATATACTTGAAGAATTTAATATGTACAGAAGTTTATTCTGGATAATAAATAAGGATCACACTGTATTAGGGGTTATGGCAACATTATTGAATTTTTATGTACATAAAGCCATATGTTTAGGGTGGTTTCTATCTGTCTTGTTTTTCACTTATATAACACTGTGAACTTCTAAAGTGAAAGAATAAAAGAAGCATGAATAAAAAGAAAGACATTTCAAAAAAATGGGTCAATGAAAAACTATAGTTAAAACATAAACCTTTCTAGGTAAACCACTCTACTTCATCTTGAGTTGGAATATATTTAAATAAATTGTGTTATCTCTTGCCAAACATTTTGTTATTTTTTATTTAAACACAAAATGTCATTTCTTAATGCATTTAAATAGTTTTGTATTGTGCAATAAAATGTGAGAAAATATAAACATTTCTATTGTATCTTAAATGTTCATACACAAAAGTTCAGTAAACCTTGAAGTTGATTAGTAGTTTTTCTAGAACACCTTAAAAGGGGCTCTACAGGAAGAAAGAAGGAATTTAAAATTAGTATGACATTAGGAAAGTAACTGTTAGAAAATAGAAACTTTGGAAAGAGAAGACTTATGAAGCCCAACAGATGAGAACTATACTTTTTATTCCATTAATAATATGAAGTTTTCACTAATTATTATAAAGTTTAGAAGAGCTTATTTCTCTCTTTTGGCAACTCTGCTGTAACTGTCAGGATAGCTGTATTTAAATTGGATGATGATGAATGATAATTTGTCACAAAAAGGTTCATGTTAGTATCGGCTGACATGAATCACCAGAAGAAAGGCTATATGGTACAAGTTGTATTGGTATGACATGATGAATTATAAACCCTGACAAAAGAGCCTTCTAAAATATTAGCACCCTAGTGTATTAATTGTAAAGAAAATGCTTAATCCAACTATCCAACTCAGTTTCACAAGCCATTTAAAAAAGTCTTCAAAACTTTTGTCATAGTAACAATTATACCAAAAATTATAACCAAATGCTGTTTTCAAAGTAATTTTTATGTCACATTATTTTCAATGTTGGTTTTAATTGAAGTCATTTGAATTTTTTTGTTTATTTGGTTTTGTTTTTGTTTTGTTTTCCATCAGACACTCTTAGTCTGTCGCCCAGGCTTTAAGTACAGTGATGTGATCACAGATCACTGCCACCTTGACCTCCTAGGCTCAAGTGATCCTCCTGCCTCAGCCTCCCAAGTAGCTGAGGACTGCAGGCATACACCACCATGCCCAGTTAATTTTTGTATATTTTTTTAGAGACAGGGTCTTACCGTGTTGTTCAGGCTGGTCTCAAATTCCTGGACTCAAGCAATCTGCCCACCTTGGCCTCCTGAAGTGCTGTGATTACACAGGTATTAGCTATTGTTCTGGGCCGTTTTGTTTGTTTGTTTTAATTTTTATATCTGAGGAACAGAAGATGATGAGGCAGCCATAAATAAGCCTGGCTGAGAGTTCTTTTCATGGACTGACATACATAAACAATAGTGCATCTGTTTCCCTGTAGGTGAAATGGAAGTTAATATTTACTCAGCTTGCCTTAGAGAGTTGAACTGCACAAGGGAAGTAGCTGTGTAAATTTATTTTAATTCTTCATGGACCTCATAACCAGGCTTTTCATATAATCGGCTGCTTCTCATGGTTTGACTTCTCAGCTTTTGATACAAATTCTTGTTCATTCTAACCAAAAGTATTTTCTCTGGTATTTCTGTACTGATTGACGAAAGATAGTTTATGTAAGGAAGTTTTCATTTCTAAAAAGAATTTTTTTGTAGTTTGAGATCAAAATGTAACACTGAGAAAGGAGTATGGTATACTTGGTTTGAACTGTGTGCTACACTACCAGGCCTCTTCCACATTATACCTTCTAATTTATTTATAAAGATAGGTATCACACTGAGAGGAAATAAAAATAAAATTTTCTGCATGTTCATTTTTTTCTTGTCTGAATGAGAAAATGAGTAAAATATTGGGTCTACTTCTAAGGAAAAGGCAACACACATTCCAGTTAACACTTGAATGTGAAAATGTTAATGACTATTAGAATTTGTAAGTCAAAATAGCTCTGCTTCTCCCTGATTGCAATTTTTAGTTACATTCACTATTTTGTGCCAAATTAAAGTTGTTGATATACGACCAGCCAGACTTCTTGGTTTAAAACATTACTAAGAACTTCATATGTATATTATAGGTATTTTATATAGTGTCGAATGAAACTTAATTTTTTTTTCTTTTTTCACCAGGGGGAAGCACAAACGCAGTCCCCCACTACCACAAATTATACATTTGGGTTTCCCACATTTGGGGAAATCGCAGGGGTCAGCACATCCGGAGTGCAATGGAGAAGCCTCGCCCTGGGAAAACCACCTTTGTGATCATGGTATCTCCCCTGCCATGTAAGTATGTGTCAAATGAAACTCTTATTTTTAGATTTTTAAAAATATTTTTGCACTTTCAACTTAATTTTATGCTAAATTGTATATGCCAGCCTATGGTCACGATGCTAAATATAAACCTATTTCTTGGTTAAGCTTTCATTGAAAGATAGGTGGTGCTGTAAGGTAATATATTGCAGTGAAAGTGTGGAAGAAAAGTTAAAATAGCACTTAAATGTTCATTTTCAAGGAAAATGTGTCCTCATTACACATACTGAGTCATGATGGACTTTGTCTCCGGTGGAGTGAAGAAGTGAAAGAATCAAGTGTATAGCCAGTAAGAATTAATCATTAATTTAAATAGGATGCTATTAGTGGGAAACTTTACTGATTTTTGAAGAAGGAAGTAACAGTACAGATTTACTTCTGTCAGTCTGGCCCTAAGTGCAACTGAGTAGGTCAAAACAGGGAGAGGAAAGTCATCATCAGAAAATAGCTGGAAGTTTTTGCTATCATGAAAACATAAGTTGATTAGAACCTGCACTAGGTCATTGTCTTTAAAGAAGGAGAAAATAAATAAAAGTTGACATGTTACCATCCTGTGGTGTCTTATGAATATATGGGGTGGATGTATTCAGTCAGATAATGCAGGAACAGTAATATAATTTCCCATCTAAAATACAGTCCTTCATGGCTTACGTTCACCAGTATGAAAAGGAGTGAAATTCCAATACATTATGTACAGCAAACAGTATATTTCAGTAGACATTTAAACTTTCCATGAATGGAAAAGGCAGTGTTCTCCCTATAAAATCATTTTACATAGTTTTATTTTACAGAAACGTGTGTGTGTGTGTGTGTGTGTGTGTGTGTGTGTGTGTGTGTGTCTATTGGTTTCAGAAGTTGGGGGCAAACGGAGGCTATGGTTTGTCTAGACTTGTTATACTGAAACAGCATTTAATTGAAACTATAAGGTATACAGATGTATTCTGAAAAATCATTAGCTTCTCTTAACAGCAGTCTTGTTTCTTTGATCATATAAATTTTATTTTTACATTTTATCCTTATCTTTGTTTGTTTTGTTTTTGCAACAAGTCCAAGCAGCTTTCTTCCTGGGAAAATGAATCCTTTGTAAATCTCTCCAATTTAACCTCTGTTGTATGATACATGTCATTAAGGGAAAGTTGAGAAATTTTTAGCAAAATCATACCTAAAATGTGTATTTTAAAATTTCATAGTTTATGAAATTCTGTTACTTCTATTAGTAAAAGATGGACATTTTAAATGACTCTAGTGATCAAGTGGAATAACATTGATCGTAGCACTTTATAAAGCATAAAATATTATGGGAATGTAAGATGTTAAATTTAAATTTTTAATCTCATAAATTGCACTTATCAGCTCATCAGTCTGTTTGATTATGACTGGTATTTATCAGGAACTTATAGGATGGTACTTAATAAGTTATTCTTCCCAGTAGAACTACTGGTTGTTGTACATAACTTTGTTTCCCAAGTTTGCATACTGTTAAAATTAAAACTATTTTAAGCCTAGTTTCAGCTTTATAAGTTACTACGCTCTTGGCAAAACCTAATTTCTGTGCCTCAGTATTCTTACCTATAAAATGAGTAAGCAAGGGGAAAATTAATCACTGTACTGGTTGCTTATCTTTTTTAATTTCCTCAGTTATATGCAGGAAGTGTTTACTACTTATCAATCATCGTGGATGATGTAACATTTACCTCCCACATAGAATCTCAGAGATTACACATACAAATTCAGAGATTATATAAGTTGGCCAAAGCTCGAAAGTACCACAACTGGGACTGGAGCCCAGATCTGTGCAGCACCAAAGCTCAGGCTCACTGTATTATAATGTGCAGCATTCTAAGTTGTGCTGCTGCAGCTGAAAGTTCTGTATGCAAAGATGGTGTTTTCCACCTAAAATAACTGAAGGTCCTGAGGTTCTGTTCTTCAGAATTAAAGCTAATGTGTTTACTACATAACCACTCTTAAAATTCTCTATATTGGCTCTCTTTGTACCTTTTCTAGTAAGTGTACAGAAAGTACTGAGGGATTTTTTGTTGTTGTTTTCATTATGAACAGCTCTTAACCTGAAATAACTAATGTGTGTCATCACTTGTACCTCTAAATAGAAGGTTTAGAAAAATAGAAGCATGTGGGGCTTACTGCCTCTAGGTATAAAAGAACGTTCTAGAAGCTGCTACTTTCAATAAATAACTTGATTCTTTTCCAAGTTAAGACCAACAGTGGTTACCATAGTTTTCATTTCTGAGGCCCCAGTCTTCTCTATTGATAACTGTATCAGTCATGGTCTAATCAGTTAGGTTTCAGTAGTTTATGGTGGAGAAGTTCATTGGGTCACCAGGCTGGATCTCTTCCTAGTTGCCAAGCAATCGGGAAGCAACCATCAGGTAAGCCTCAGCTGGCACACTGACAGGGTCAGGGTGCCACTGCAGCTGGGAGGCCTGGGGTATGTGGTATCTGTTAAGAAGACCACACAAAGGTGTTGATTAGGCCAGGCTGAGGCTGCTATTCTGGGCAAACAGTAAGGTCAAATACCACTGGATGTCCACCATTTTGAAGCCGAGAGACAGTAAATTAATAAATGGCACAAAAGTCCGACCACAGAGTCTGGGAAATAAAATGTAATCTTATAATTTGGCATTATACCAGAAAATAAGATAGCTTAAAATGTTGAAATATATTATGCATTCACAACTGTGAATATCTGCTGTGCATAGCTAACATCCTTTACCCTCTATCAGTTTATAGGTAAGTGATATTTACATGCCCAAACATAATTCAGCAAATTCTGTAATCAAAGCATGTGCATAGTTGAGAAGTAGGCTTCATTGATTAGGTGACATTTGAACTAGCTTTTTGCATTACTGAGTATAACCCACC